GATAGAGCAGTGGGGTGGGTGGAGCATGTAGCAGTGTGGTGGGTGGAGCATGTCGATAGAGCAGTGGGGTGGGTGGAGCATGTAGCAGTGTGGTGGGTGGAGCATGTCGATAGAGCAGTGGGGTGGGTGGAGCATGTAGCAGTGTGGTGGGTGGAGCATGTCGATAGAGCAGTGTGTTGGGTGGAGCATGTCGATAGAGCAGTGGGGTGGGTGGAGCATGTCGATAGAGCAGTGGGGTGGGTGGAGCATGTAGCAGTGGGGTGGGTGGAGCATGTCGATAGAGCAGTGGGGTGGGTGGAGCATGTCGATAGAGCAGTGTGGTGGGTGGAGCATGTCGATAGAGCAGTGGGGTGGGTGGAGCATGTCGATAGAGCAGTGGGGTGGGTGGAGCATGTCGATAGAGCAGTGTGGTGGGTGGAGCATGTCGATAGAGCAGTGTGGTGGGTGGAGCATGTCGATAGAGTGAGTGGAGCATGTCGTTAGAGCAGTGGGGTGGGTGGAGCATGTCGATAGAGCAGTGTGGTGGGTGGAGCATGTCGATAGAGTGAGTGGAGCATGTCGATAGAGCAGTGGGGTGGGTGGAGCCTGTCGATAGAGTGAGTGGAGCATGTCGATAGAGCAGTGGGGTGGGTGGAGCATGTCGATAGAGTGAGTGGAGCATGTCGATAGAGCAGTGGGGTGGGTGGAGCATGTGGATAGAGCAGTGTGGTGGGTGGAGCATGTCGATAGAGCAGTGTGGTGGGTGGAGCATGTCGATAGAGCAGTGTGGTGGGTGGATCATGTCGATAGAGTGAGTGGAGCATGTCGATAGAGTGGGTGGAGCATGTCGATAGAGTGGGTGGAGCATGTCGATAGAGCAGTGGGGTGGGTGGAGCATGTAGCAGTGTGGTGGGTGGAGCATGTCGATAGAGCAGTGGGGTGGGTGGAGCATGTCGATAGAGCAGTGTGGTGGGTGGAGCATGTCGATAGAGCAGTGTGGTGGGTGGAGCATGTCGATAGAGTGAGTGGAGCATGTCGATAGAGTGGGTGGAGCATGTCGATAGAGCAGTGTGGTGGGTGGAGCATGTCGATAGAGTGAGTGGAGCATGTCGATAGAGTGGGTGGAGCATGTCGATAGAGCAGTGGGGTGGGTGGAGCATGTCGATAGAGCAGTGGGGTGGGTGGAGCATGTGGATAGAGCAGTGGGGTGGGTGGAGCATGTGGATAGAGCAGTGGGGTGGGTGGAGCATGTGGATAGAACAGTGGGGTGGGTGGAGCATGTGGATAGAGCAGTGTGTGAGGACAGACGGTTGTACGGACTGGAGAATGTTGCCGAAATCCTCTAGGTTTAGGCCTACATTGGTTTCTTGTACTCGTCACTATTGACGTCGTCACTATTGACGTCGTCACTATTGACGGAGTTAAGCCGCTTGGTGGAGACGTCAAGTGTTCTGATGGCTCTAAGAATGGTGTTCAAGACTGGCTGCTGTTGGAGGTTCACCTCAAGTAGGTCCAGTGACCTGTCAAGTAGGTCCAGTGACCTGTCAAGTAGGTCCAGTGACCTGTCAAGTAGGTCCAGTGACCTGTCAAGTAGGTCCAGTGACTTGTCAAGTAGGTCCAGTGACCTGTCAAGTATGTCCAGTGACCTGTCAAGTAGGTCCAGTGACCTGTCAAGTAGGTCCAGTGACCTGTCAAGTAGGTCCAGTGACCTGTCAAGTAGGTCCAGTGACCTGTCAAGTAGGTCCAGTGACCTGTCAAGTAGGTCCAGTGACCTGTCAAGTAGGTCCAGTGACCTGTCAAGTAGGTCCAGTGACCTGTCAAGTAGGTCCAGTAACTTGTCAAGTAGTTCCAGTACCACGGACTGACCATTGTCCGGTGTTTAATGACAACAGCTGTTAAATTGATCAACAGGGAACTAGAGGGGTGGGGAGGGGATAAGTGAAACCGGGGTGTTAAGCTCCTTTAAAAGTAAGCTCTAGCTCAGCTGGACTTAAGATCTGGGAGCTAAAGCCACAGTTAAGCTCCATCTCAAGATGTTGGAGCCGTGATGTGTTGTGTGACAGCTGTGGGAGCTGGGCTAGCCGTCAGCAGCTGTATCAAACAACAGCTGCAAGGGTTGTATACTTGTGAAGTATGTGTTTCTTGGCGTCAGATACTAGATCTACATACCATGTATGGAGCAGCTAGGTGTTGAGACACCATTGGGCTGATTATATGTGGTGTAAAGTAGGTATAAAACAACCGATGTATTATATGTGGTGTAAAGTAGGTATAAAACAACCGATGTATTATATGTGGTATAAAGTAGGTATAAAACAACCGATGTATTATATGTGGTATAAAGTAGGTATAAAACAACCGATGTATTATATGTGGTGTAAAGTAGGTATAAAACAACCGATATATTATATGTGGTATAAAGTAGGTATAAAACAACCGATGTATTATATGTGGTGTAAAGTAGGTATAAAACAACCGATATATTATATGTGGTATAAAGTAGGTATAAAACAACCGATGTATTATATGTGGTATAAAGTAGGTATAAAACAACCGATGTATTATATGTGGTATAAAGTAGGTTTAAAACAACCGATGTATTATATGTGGTATAAAGTAGATATAAAACAACCGATGTATTATATGTGGTATAAAGTAGGTATAAAACAACCGATGTATTATATGTGGTATAAAGTAGGTATAAAACAACCGATGTATACAACTAGGTACCTGAAGCAGGTCTATTAAAAATGTTTCTCACTTCACTTCTGTGTTAATTAAAATCTCATGCCCCGTGTTTATCAGTGAGATGATTAATTAAATTAAAAACAGGAAACACGTTTTTGTCTGGGATTATAGCGTTAACCTCGCGGGGTCAGCCCGATCTTATGTGCGGTTTTATGTCGTAGTCACAGACATACACAAGCTGCATACAACATGCACACAAGGTTTTATGACGTAGTCACAGACATACACAAGCCGCATACAACATGCACACTGGGTTTTATGACGTAGTCACAGACATACACAAGCTGCATACAACATGCACACAAGGTTTTATGTCGTAGTCACAGACATACACAATCTGCATACAACATGCAAACAAGGTTTTATGACGTAGTCACAGACATACACAAGCTGCATACAATATGCACACTGGGTTTTATGACGTAGTCACAGACATACACAAGCCGCATACAACATGCACACTGGGTTTTATGACGTAGTCTCAGACATACACAAGCCGCATACAACATGCACACTGGGTTTTATGACGTAGTCACAGACATACACAAGCTGCAAACAACATGCACACAAGGTTTTATGTCGTAGTCACAGACATACACAATCTGCATACAACATGCACACAAGGTTTTATGTCGTAGTCACAGACATACACAATCTGCATACAACATGCACACTGGGTTTTATGACGTAGTCACAGACATACACAATCTGCATACAACATGCACACAAGGTTTTATGACGTAGTCACAGACATACACAATCTGCATACAACATGCACACAAGGTTTTATGACGTAGTCACAGACATACACAATCTGCATACAACATGCACACAAGGTTTTATGACGTAGTCACAGACATACACAAGCTGCATACAACATGCACACTGGGTTTTATGACGTAGTCACAGACATACACAAGCTGCATACAACATGCACACAAGGTTTTATGTCGTAGTCACAGACATACACAAGCCGCATACAACATGCACACTGGGTTTTATGACGTAGTCACAGACATACACAAGCTGCAAACAACATGCACACAAGGTTTTATGTCGTAGTCACAGACATACACAATCTGCATACAACATGCACACAAGGTTTTATGACGTAGTCACAGACATACACAAGCCGCATACAACATGCACACTGGGTTTTATGACGTAGTCACAGACATACACAAGCTGCATACAACATGCACACAAGGTTTTATGTCGTAGTCACAGACATACACAATCTGCATACAACATGCACACAAGGTTTTATGACGTAGTCACAGACATACACAAGCTGCATACAACATGCACACTGGGTTTTATGACGTAGTCACAGACATACACAAGCCGCATACAACATGCACACTGGGTTTTATGACGTAGTCACAGACATACACAAGCTGCAAACAACATGCACACAAGGTTTTATGTCGTAGTCACAGACATACACAATCTGCATACAACATGCACACAAGGTTTTATGACGTAGTCACAGACATACACAAGCTGCATACAACATGCACACTGGGTTTTATGACGTAGTCACAGACATACACAATCTGCATACAACATGCACACAAGGTTTTATGTCGTAGTCACAGACATACACAATCTGCATACAACATGCACACTGGGTTTTATGACGTAGTCACAGACATACACAATCTGCATACAACATGCACACAAGGTTTTATGACGTAGTCACAGACATACACAAGCTGCATACAACATGCACACAAGGTTTTATGTCGTAGTCACAGACATACACAAGCTGCATACAACATGCACACAAGGTTTTATGACGTAGTCACAGACATACACAATCTGCATACAACATGCACACAAGGTTTTATGACGTAGTCACAGACATACACAAGCTGCATACAACATGCACACAAGGTTTTATGACGTAGTCACAGACATACACAATCTGCATACAACATGCACACAAGGTTTTATGACGTAGTCACAGACATACACAAGCTGCATACAACATGCACACAAGGTTTTATGACGTAGTCACAGACATACACAATCTGCATACAACATTCACACAAGGTTTTATGTCGTAGTCACAGTCATACACAATCTGCATACAACATGCACACAATATGGGTTTAGATTACAATTTGATATAATGTATCGTGTAAAATGGGTTATAGATAAAGGTTTATGTTATCCTAATTAACATGCTGTGTTGTTTTGTTCTTTGACAGACTATACTGAAGGTTTATGTTATTCTAATTAACATGCTGTGTTGTTTTGATTTTCGACAGACAATACTGAAGGCACTATGTGCAGGCACAGACTTCTTCCACAGAAAACTAGAGGTAAGACTTTTGTCTGTACAGTTGTAAGACTTTTTGGCCATTTGTACTTTTTTTTCGGTTTGGAATCCGTAAGACTTTTCCCGGGACATTTGCAAAACTTTCCCCGGGACCTTTGTAAGATTATGGAGTTTTTAAATCTTTAGCCTAGACATTTATAATACTTTTGCCTAGATAAATATTTATAAGACTCTTGCCTAGACATTTATAAAATTTTGCCTAGACATTTATACAATTTTGCCTAGACATTTATAAGACTTTTGCCTAGAAATGTGTGAAAGACGTAACCCGGACATTTAAAAGACGTTGGCCCCGAATGTTCCAGTATTATTAAAGCCGGTGGGTGAGGTTAGATATACTGTCTTCCCTATTGGGGGCCTAGCTGAATGAGGACGTGTAAGAATGTTCTTTTACAGAACACTCGTCTTTACCTACACTTCAGCAATAACTTTTTTAAAAAGTGTAATTAGTTCTCCAATATTTAGAGGTTGTCGTTCTTATATCTCAAATCTCTAATCAGACCCCGGGGTGGTCAATAAACTCTTCCCCGACCCCACGGGCCAAGTTAGAGTGAGAAAAAAAGAATTTGATCGCACCTTGAGCTAGGAGCGTCAACACAAGGCAAATATAAGAAAGACGGGGTTAAATGGGGATTTCCCAATCTCTGGGCTTGTGCAGTTTTTGTGGGGTTTGGTTCAGATGGATGGAATAGTGCTTTCTCTGGGGGCGGGGGGGGGGGGGGGGGTAGGGCTGTGGAGGTGGTATATGGGATATTTTCTAGGGGAGGTGGGTTAGAGGTTGTGAGGGAGGTGAAGGGAAGTTAATAGTGAGGTGGTTTTTTAGCGGAGGTAGTATAGGGGAGGTGGGGTGGTGGAGGTACTGTAGTAGAGGTGGGGTGGGTGAGGTAGTGTAGGGGAGATGGGGTGGGGGAGGTACTGTAGTAGAGGTGGGATGGGGTGGAGGAGATAAGAGGTGGGTAGGTAGGTGGTTTAGAGGGGGTGGGGTAGAGGAGGTAGTATGGGGTGGTGTTGGGGTGGGGTAGGAAGATGATAAGGAGGGATAGAGGTAGGGGAGATAGAGGATACAAAGATGAAGGGGGGGGGGGGTAGCGGCGTTAAGTTGTCCTCCCACACGACACACAATGTTAAAAGTTTCTACCGGCCTTAAGGTTTTATTCTCGTGGAATTGTGGCCTGTATTGCAAACTCCTGTCACACTTCCCAGCAATACAAATTACGTCCCCTTTTAAAATATTCTAGAACGTTAACATCAGACATTAGCCGCTAACGTTGGTATCTCGACGTTAACATTACGTTAGAGTTAACACAAGTAGTTCGACTATTGTGTTAACAAAGCCGGTTAAAGGTTAACATAGCCTAAAATGTTGACCTAAACTTGGTGCGAGAAAACGTGTGAGTTCAGTGCCAGACAAGTTGGAGCCAGCGTCCCTCTCGTGGAGGCAGACGTTGCTAACTTCTTCCGTTTCACAAGTTAGCTCCCCCTTAAGTGTTTTCCACTTCCGCTTCGTCCCATAATTCCTCGCAATTTGCCGTCTTACCGCGCGCTTTGTCCAACACAACTTGATTATCTTTTCTCCGAGTCGAGCTAATTGGAGTAATTTAATTATCTTACTTTTCAAATTGCTATAGCTCTGTTTTAGCTACATGAAATTATAGAATGGAGAACAGTACGAGACAATAATTCATGAACCTCAAGGCAAATGTCACAACTTACAGGGCAAATGTCACAAAATTTTAGAGTAACTATCACATACTTTTAGGGCAACTATCACAAACATTTTTAGGGCAACTATCACATACTTTTAGGGCAACTATCACATACTTTTAGGGCAAATATCACAAACATTTTTAGGGCAACTATCACATACTTTTAGGACAACTATCACATACTTTTAGGGCAAATATCACAAACATTTTAGGGCATCTATCACAAACTATAGGGCAACTGTCACAAACACTTTTAGGGCATCTATCACATACTTTAGTATGTCACAAACTTTTAGGGTAAGTGCCACTAGTATCACAAACTTATGACAGCTATAAGAATGTTTGTGTTTGTTGTTTGTGTTCCCCTACCTTGAGACAAACAGGACGTAATGTTTGTGTTGTGCAGAATGTTTGTTTCACAATTCTCCAATCTTTCTACACGAGCCAATAGGATCTCCCATTCAAGTGCAGTCTTCGATTCGACCCCAGCAACAGCCTAGCTTTAATTACATTTCGATTGCAGTTTTTTTTATGATGGAATTCGATGAATTATTTTGTCGAGCCCCCCTACCCCCTTATGATACCTGCCCCTTGGGCGGCGTCCAACCGTCGGGGACACCCATTCACGCTGGCCAGCTAGAGGGGCGGTGAAAATAAGGGCGCCCCATGATCTTCGCTCTGCTGTCATATTGTTTGGCTGAGTGTGGCCGAGTCTTGCAGAGTGTTGCCGAGTCTTGCCGAGTCTTGCCGAGTCTTGCCGAGTGCTGCCGAGTCTTGCCGAGTGTTGCCGAGTCTTGCAGAGTGTTGCCGAGTCTTGCAGAGAGTTGCCGAATTTTGCCAAATGTTGCCGAATTTTTCCGAGTGTTTTTTGACATCAGTCAAATACGGGATGTTACATTTGTAAGAAGATTCTATTTAGATTACATTGGCTGAAGTTATACAAGTATTTATGACGGCATAAGTTAAATACTTTGTGGATTTTGCAGTCGACAATTGGTGCTATTTGTGATGGTCAATACCACAAAACTTTGGGATGGTAGTCTACCAACATTACTGAAATTTGGGATGGTAGACCGCCAACCTCTCCAAACTTTGGGATGTTAGATCAACAGCAACACCAACAACACTAAACTTTATGATGTTAGACCAAAACAACTAAACTTTATGATGTTAGACCAACACAACTAAACTTTATGAAGTTAGACCAACACAACTAAACTTTATGATGTTAGACCAACACCACTAAACTTTATGATTTTAGACCAACACCACTAAACTTTATAATGTTAGACCAACACGACTAAACTTTAGGAGGTTAGACCAACACTACCACCACCACCACCACCAACACAACAAAACTTTAGGATGGTGGTCACGTGTAGACATCACGTGATACGGCGGGATGTTACTAACTTTTTGACAAACCAAAAAAACGCCCTCTCAGTGAGCGCCAGTGGGACTTTCAGGGAAAATACGATTCTCTGGGGATTTGAGGGAAGGAATCAAATTTTTCTCATCTTTATGAAATTACCGCGTGTAGTGGGAGGCGAGTGCGTGCACTTTAAATATTTCAACAAAAAATGGAGGGGGGGGGGGGCTCCATTAGGCTCGCTTCAACTGACGGCGCACAAATTGCCGACATTTAAAACGATTTACTGGCTGGTTGCTCAGCTACGATTTGTGACATCCTAACTGAACTGATCCGTCCACTATATGTTGCTGTGGGTTAGACTCTCTGAAAGATTCATTCATTAAGACACATATACTGATTACTGTACAAGAAAGTTTAATAAGCTTTTAAAATCTCTAGTAAATGTGTTATTTTTGGCTGAGTGATCTCAATAGAGATGGTTAGCTTCCAAAGTGTGGTAGATGGATGGGTCTCATAGATTTAGAGAACATGTTAGTACTTTAGGGGCACTAGGTTTTTAGATTTGTCACGGGTTTTGTTTACTTCTATCCACGACAAACGTTCAGTTCGGGTGTATGTGTATTACCCGTCTGTCTGTCCGTCTGTCTGTCTGTCCGTCTGACTGTCCGTCTGTCTGTCCAGAAGATTTGGTCCATACGACGCTAATGTGGTCGCAGCTTATCCTAATGTAAGGGTCGAGGAAGTATTCTCATGGTCGGCTAGTAGCTTATTGTATTGTAATGGTCGACGAAGTATCCTCAGTGAAAGGAAAATTAAATTAAAAACTACGCCGCCATGAACACTGGGTTTATTTTATCTTATTATCGTCGTCTTGGGGAAAACTTTGCTGCAGTTGTGTATTTTTCTGTGAGATATCTGTGACTTTATTGGTTACACTTTGTGGTAATCTTCGTGTTTCTGTTTACATTTTGTGACAATCATCTTAATAGAAAACACGCACAAATGAAGATATACATTAATCAATGAGTCATATCAACATCGTACAACCCAGTCGAAATGTCTCAACTAAACTATTTACAGACTCATTTTCTAAGTTCGTGCTTCAGAACATAACTCGTCTGTGATTCTACTCAGCTTAATTGGGTACCTGGCTTTAGTCGGGGAAGGTAAGGGAACACCGAGATAAAAATATCAAAGATGAGAAGACGATGTCCAACTAAAACATCGCGTGCTAGGTCGTGTTTGGAGACACTTTGTGATGTTTTTATTCGCGTCTTACTCACCAACTGTTGTATTCGTGTCCAACAAACAAGCTTATCAGTTTGATGCTGATGTTCTCACCACTTTCACGTCGGCGTGTGAGACCAAAATTGACCAGGGTCAGATAAACAGTCGATGACTCACGGTGTGGGTGAGCCAATTGTTTATCACAGTCCAGCGTCACTGTGGCTGTATCAGCACCCCCCCCCCCCACCTCACACACGCACGTCAATAACTGGACGGATATAAGATTCAAATATTGACCCTTGACCCTTGTCTGAGGTTGAGGTTAACGAACATAGTCGATACGTCATAGCACGCGCTGGCTGGTGGGACGTCTTGAGTAAACACCGGTAGATCTTTATAGATCTTTCTCAGATCATACAAGATCTTTTACCTCAGTTGTCAGATCATACAAGATATTTTATCTCATTTGTCAGATCATACAAGATATTTTATCTCAATGTTCAGATCATACAAGATCTTTTATCTCAGTTGTCAGATCATACAAGATCTTTTATCTCAATGTTCAGATCATACAAGATCTTTTATCTCAGTTGTCAGATCATACTAGATCTTTTATCTCAGTTGCCAATAAGATCATACAAGATCTTTCAGCTCAGTTGCCAATAAGATCATACAAGATCTTTTATCTCAGTTGCCAATAAGATCATACAAGATCTTTTATCTCAGTTGCCAATAAGACCCTATAAGATCTTTTAAGCCAATAAGATCCTACAAAGTAGGTAAACAACTGACTTAAGTTTACAAAAGTAACCAGCGAGTTACACAGGTGGTGATACCAATACTGACAGAGGTGGTGATACCAATACTGACACAGGTGGTGATACCTGCACTGACACACGTGGTGATACTGCACTGACACAGGTGGGGATACCTGCATTGACACATGTGGTGATACCTGCACTGACACAGGTGGGGATACCTGCACTGACACAGGTGGTGATACCAGTACTGACACACGTGGTGATACTAATACTGACACTGGTGGTGATACCAATACTGACACTGGTGGTGATACCTGCACTGACACAGGTGACATCAGGTGGTGATGCCAGCACTGAAACAGGTATTGATGCCTGCAGAGATACAGTGACCTGTATCACCAAACGAAACCACTGGCTTATCTGAACACTTCTCCCTCCTTGTTGCCAGAGTTTATCACCAGTAGCGGCAGACGATGCACACACTTGTAATGACGTCATTTCCTGTACTCCCACGTGCCTGTAAAACGAGCGGGAAAAAATGTTCCATCAGCTGCCTGTGTCAATCTGGATCGTTTGGTCTCGTGTAGAACACAAACACCCAGCAGACGGCAGGGTGACATAATAAAATTATTTTCAACGAAATCATACGGCAGTCAGGGGCGGAACTACAGTGCCGCCAGACCCCGCAATGCGGGGGGGGCCACAACATTTAGGGGCCCATAGCCGACCATAATAAATTTTTTTATAGTTTAAAAAAAAATAATTTTCTTGCATTTTTGACTTGGCGGTAAAAGTTTTTGTAAACAACAAACAGATCTACTACAATAGTGATGTTATACAGTATCTAACACATGCTGTTGCGTAAAAAAAATATATGCCTGAGCTGTAGTGTGAAAGATAGGCAAACGTTCAAAACACTTCCATGACTTATTTCCCTTTTTAAAATAGTTAAATAGTGGTTCTCATAAGCTCCTTTTAATATATTAAACAAATTAAAAAGCAATTAATTCTCTTAATTATTATTTTAAAAAATACATACTAAAGAAGGCAGCATAAAAAAGAAATATATTTAAAACAAACAATTTAAGTACAAACAAATAAATAAAAATAACATAACACGAGAAACCATTACACATACAAAGCTTTCACGTTTTATATTCTTTTGAGGGTAGGTCGTATTAAAGCAATCATATTGAATAAACTAGCTCTATCTAAAAAAAAATAATAATATTTCTAAACAGACTAATGCACTCACACACATGACACGTTGTAATTTGTTTAAATTTGAAAAAAAAAAGAATTTTTTTTCAAAACCCGATCAGGCCAGAAATGAGTATCCAATGTTTGTATTCTGTGTTTACTATATATATATATATATATATATATATATATATATATATATATATATATATATATATATATATATATATATATATATATATATAGGGGGCCCAGAATTACTTTTTGCGGGGTGGCCCTTTTTTTCTAGTTCCGCCACTGACGGCAGTCAGCTATTTTAAAGTAGGCTTATTCGATTTTTGAAAATGAGAATTAAGTTAAAATGTACATTTTTTAACCATATATGTCATTTAGATTTTGTATCATAGAGGACAGTTTTCTACCACAGGTGACCTTTCTTGAACAATTATTTCCCCTAGAGGGCCTTGATTTTACAGTTTTCTACCATTAGGAATAATAATTTACGAAAAAGGGCCTTGATTTTAGTTTCAAGCGAACGGACGATATTTCCGTATACGTCACATCCAGTGTTTCTTGCAGACTTTTTTTCTCCGGGGTGTGGGAACTTTAAATTTTCCGGTGGACGGCTCTGGTAAAAGTATAGGGAGGGGCGGGCCGCGGGAGATGCCTGAAAGAAACTCTCATCACATCCCGTGCTTTTGACTTATGATGCAGCTTCTCGCCGATTCCCAACAAATTACAACACGGGCTTCCATACTGCGCATCATGGCTTCCTTCAGACAGTGTTGCAATGTTTTTGTTTGGATGATGTTGTCACCCCCCCCCCCCCCCATCTAATTTAACCATCCTGTGTTAACCACAACACCTAACAACCCAATAATTTCAACTTTCTCTAGACGGTGTTGTTTGACAATTGTTGTACACGATTAAAAAATGCTTATTTGCTTTCACATCAATGTCTGCCCTCAATGTCTGCCACCAATGTCTGCCACCAATGTCTGCCACCAATGTCTGCCCTCAATGTCTGCCACCAATGTCTGCCACCAATGTCTGCCCTCAATGTCTGCCACCAATGTCTGCCCTCAATGTCTGCCACCAATGTCTGCCACCAATGTCTGCCCTCAATGTCTGCCACCAATGTCTGCCACCAATGTCTGCCCTCAATGTCTGCCACCAATGTCTGCCACCAATGTCTGCCACCAATGTCTGCCACCAATGTCTGCCACCAATGTCTGCCACCAATGTCTGCCCTCAATGTCTGCCACCAATGTCTGCCACCAATGTCTGCCCTCAATGTCTGCCACCAATGTCTGCCACCAATGTCTGCCACCAATGTCTGCCCTCAATGTCTGCCACCAATGTCTGCCACCAATGTCTGCCCTCAATGTCTGCCACCAATGTCTGCCCTCAATGTCTGCCACCAATGTCTGCCCTCAATGTCTGCCACCAATGTCTGCCACCAATGTCTGCCACCAATGTCTGCCCTCAATGTCTGCCACCAATGTCTGCCACCAATGTCTGCCACCAATGTCTGCCCTCAATGTCTGCCACCAATGTCTGCCACCAATGTCTGCCACCAATGTCTGCCCTCAATGTCTGCCACCAATGTCTGCCACCAATGTCTGCCACCAATGTCTGCCCTCAATGTCTGCCACCAATGTCTGCCACCAATGTCTGCCACCAATGTCTGCCACCAATGTCTGCCACCAATGTCTGCCCTCAATGTCTGCCACCAATGTCTGCCACCAATGTCTGCCCTCAATGTCTGCCACCAATGTCTGCCCTCAATGTCTGCCACCAATGTCTGCCCTCAATGTCTGCCACCAATGTCTGCCACCAATGTCTGCCACCAATGTCTGCCCTCAATGTCTGCCACCAATGTCTGCCACCAATGTCTGCCACCAATGTCTGCCACCAATGTCTGCCACCAATGTCTGCCCTCAATGTCTGCCACCAATGTCTGCCACCAATGTCTGCCACCAATGTCTGCCCTCAATGTCTGCCACCAATATCTGCCCTCAATGTCTGCCACCAATGTCTGCCCTCAATGTCTGCCACCAATGTCTGCCACCAATGTCTGCCACCAATGTCTGCCACCAATGTCTGCCACCAATGTCTGCCCTCAATGTCTGCCACCAATGTCTGCCACCAATGTCTGCCCTCAATGTCTGCCACCAATGTCTGCCACCAATGTCTGCCCTTAATGTCTGCCACCAATGTCTGCCCTCAATGTCTGCCACCAATGTCTGCCACCAATGTCTGCCACCAATGTCTGCCCTCAATGTCTGCCACCAATGTCTGCCCTCAATGTCTGCCACCAATGTCTGCCACCAATGTCTGCCACCAATGTCTGCCACCAATGTCTGCCACCAATGTCTGCCACCAATGTCTGCCACCAATGTCTGCCCTCAATGTCTGCCACCAATGTCTGCCATTAATGTCTGCCATTAATGTCTGCCCTCAATGTCTGCCACCAATGTCTGCCACCAATGTCTGCCACCAATGTCTGCCCTCAATGTCTGCCACCAATGTCTGCCATTAATGTCTGCCCTCAATGTCTGCTATGATTTGTCTCCCCAGACTTTTGACCTGGTCATCGTGCTGGTGTCCTTTGTTGTGGACCTGGTGTGTATGCAGATTATGCCGGCCATGAAGATCCAGGACTTTGTTTTTATACTGGCCATGTTACTGCCGTGGCGGGTCATTCGTGTCGTCAACAGTAAGTACTGACACACGGGTCATTCGTGTCGTCAACAGTAAGTACTGACACACGGGTCATTAGTGTCGTCAACAGTAAGTACTGACACACGGGTCATTGGTCAACAGTAAGTACTGACACACGGGTCATTGGTCAACAGTAAGTACTGACACACGGGTCATTGGTCAACAGTAAGTACTGACACACGGGTCATTCGTGTCGTCAACAGTAAGTACTGACACACGGGTCATTGGTCAACAGTAAGTACTGACACACGGGTCATTGGTCAACAGTAAGTACTGACACACGGGTCATTGGTCAACAGTAAGTACTGACACACGGGTCATTCGTGTCGTCAACAGTAAGTACTGACACATGGGTCATTCGTGTCGTCAACAGTAAGTACTGACACACGGGTCATTGGTGTCGTCAACAGTAAATACTGACACACGGGTCATTCGTGTCGTCAACAGTAAGTACTGACACATGGGTCAAACAGTAAGTACTGACACACGGGTCATTCGTGTCGTCAACAGTAAGTACTGACACATGGGTCAAACAGTAAGTACTGACACACGGGTCATTCGTGTCGTCAACAGTAAGTACTGACACACGGGTCATTCGTGTCGTCAACAGTAAGTACTGACACACGGGTCATTCGTGTCGTCAACAGTAAGTACTGACACACGGGTCATTGGTGTCGTCAACAGTAAATACTGACACATGGGTCATTGGTCAACAGTAAGTACTGACACACGGGTCATTCGTGTCGTCAACAGTAAATACTGACACATGGGTCATTGGTCAACAGTAAATACTGACACACGGGTCAAACAGTAAGTACTGACACATGGGTCATTGGTGTCGTCAACAGTAAATACTGACACACGGGTCATTGGTCAACAGTAAGTACTGACACACGGGTCATTCGTGTCGTCAACAGTAAGTACTGACACACGGGTCATTCGTGTCGTCAACAGTAAGTACTGACACACGGGTCAAACAGTAAGTACTGACACACGGGTCATCGGTCAACAGTAAGTACTGACACATGGGTCATTCGTGTCGTCAACAGTAAGTACTGACACACGGGTCATTGGTGTCGTCAACAGTAAGTACTGACACACGGGTCATTCGTGTCGTCAACAGTAAGTACTGACACATGGGTCATTGGTCAACAGTAAGTACTGACACACGGGTCATTCGTGTCGTCAACAGTAAGTACTGACACATGGGTCAAACAGTAAGTACTGACACACGGGTCATTCGTGTCGTCAACAGTAAGTACTGACACACGGGTCATTCGTGTCGTCAACAGTAAGTACTGACACACGGGTCATTCGTGTCGTCAACAGTAAGTACTGACACACGGGTCATTCGTGTCGTCAACAGTAAGTACTGACACACGGGTCATTGGTGTCGTCAACAGTAAATACTGACACATGGGTCATTGGTCAACAGTAAGTACTGACACACGGGTCATTCGTGTCGTCAACAGTAAATACTGACACATGGGTCATTGGTCAACAGTAAATACTGACACACGGGTCAAACAGTAAGTACTGACACATGGGTCATTGGTGTCGTCAACAGTAAATACTGACACACGGGTCATTGGTCAACAGTAAGTACTGACACACGGGTCATTCGTGTCGTCAACAGTAAGTACTGACACACGGGTCATTCGTGTCGTCAACAGTAAATACTGACACACGGGTCATTCGTGTCGTCAACAGTAAGTACTGACACACGGGTCAAACAGTAAGTACTGACACACGGGTCAAACAGTAAGTACTGACACATGGGTCATTGGTCAACAGTGAGTGTTCATGTGACCTCAGAGTATGTGTAAAGTTACAATAAATGTAATATCCCTTAAAGTTTCAAATGACCGATATTGGAATACTTAAAGTCAAGTTGTCCCTAAATATGAGTAAACTGCATCAGATGCACCAATGTGTGATTGCACGTGACTAACATCTCGCCCTCTGATTGGTCAGGTCTTGTTGTGGCCGTCCAGGACCACGAGCACTTCCGGTTGAAGCTCATCTACGGCAGGAAGAAAAAAATCGTCAACAGCTTGAGGGAATCAGAGATCAAACTCCAACTGTTTAGGGTAAGTTGTGGGGGAGGAGCGGGGGAGGGGCGGGGGTGTCAGAGATCAAACTCCAACTGTTTAGGGTAAGTTGTGGGGAAGGGGCGGGGGAGGGGGAGGGGGAGCAGTCAGAGATCAAACTTCAACTGTTTAGGGTAAGTTGTGGGGGAGGGGAGGGGGAAGGGGGGGAGGGGGAGCAGTCAGAGGTCAAACTTCAACTGTTTAGGGTAAGTTGTGGGGGAGGGGCGGGGGAGGGGGGAACAGTCAGAAATGAAACTTAAGTTGTTTAGGGTAAGCTTGGGCGGAAGTAAGTGGGCGTAGTGTGTTTGTGTGGGTGTGGGGGTGGGCGGTCTCTGATAACATCTAGTTATGCCAGGCCAAAGACTGTTCCACAAATTTCTGCAAGCCATAAAATAAGGGGCCGCAACTGGTTTGACGAGAAACATATTTTGTAGACTTCAAAAAATAGACAATATAATTACCCCGCTTTCTAATTATAATACAAGGACCAGACATTTACAGTGTAATTAGGGTAGGGGTGGGTTATAGAGAGGGAGAGGTGGGATGGGGTGGAGCAAGAAAGCTAGAGATGAGGTAACAGAAAGGTTGCTCTAGTGTGCTGTCATAAGCTGTAATCTGATGAATTTACCAGCACAAGATGTGTCTAGAACTTTCGAATTCGGCTGTTAATTGCAAAAAGTGGGGCGCTATACTGGAATTGTTTACATATCATGGCGGACATACTGGCTCGTCTCTGCAGTATTGCACCAACCACTGGGTTATGGGCTAGTCTAGCTTTGGTTCAGGCTGTCCGATAGAATGGGAAATGGTTTGATGTTCATGTAAAGCACCCATCATGTTGAAGGTGTATCCTGTTGGAGGTGTATCCTGTTGGAGGTGTATCCTGTTGGAGGTGTATCCTGTTGGAGGTGTATCCTGTTGGAGGTGTATCCTGTTGGAGGTGTATCCTGTTGGAGGTGTGTCCTGTTGGAGGTGTGTCCTGTTGGAGGTGTGTCCTGTTGGAGGTGTATCCTGTTGGAGGTGTGTCCTGTTGGAGGTGTGTCCTGTTGGAGGTGTGTCCTGTTGGAGGTGTGTCCTGTTGGAGGTGTGTCCTGTTGGAGGTGTATCCTGTTGGAGGTGTATCCTGTTGGAGGTGTATCCTGTTGGAGGTGTATCCTGTTGGAGGTGTATCCTGTTGGAGGTGTGGCCTGTTGGAGGTGTATCCTGTTGGAGGTGTATCCTGTTGGAGGTGTGTCCTATTGGAGGTGTATCCTGTTGGAGGTGTGTCCTATTGGAGGTGTGTCCTGTTGGAGGTGTGTCCTATTGGAGGTGTATCCTGTTGGAGGTGTATCCTGTTGGAGGTGTGTCCTGTTGGAGGTGTGTCCTGTTGGAGGTGTGTCCTGTTGGAGGTGTGTCCTGTTGGAGGTGTGTCCTGTTGGAGGTGTGACCTGTTGGTGGTGTGGCCTGCAAATTAAACCAAAGATGGTGCGACACCTTCAGACAGCAGTCTAGAAATGTTTATGTAAGGGCATCAAATTCATTTGTTTAAAAATTGGTTTAATTTGGTGGCATTAAAGACAGATCTTCATCAGACGGCAACTATCCTGCCTACTGACGGCAACTATCCTGCCTACTGACGGCAACTATCCCGCCTACTGACGGCAACTATCCTGCCTACTGACGGCAACTATCCTGCCTACTGACGGCAACTATCCCGCCTACTGACGGCAACTATCCCGCCTACTGACGGCAACTATCCCGCCTACTGACGGCAACTATCCTGCCTACTGACGGCAACTATCCCGCCTACTGACGGCAACTATCCTGCCTACTGACGGCAACTATCCCGCCTACTGACGGCAACTATCCCGCCTACTGACGGCAACTATCCCGCCTACTGACGGCAACTATCCCGCCTACTGACGGCAACTATCCCGCCTACTGAAGGTAACTATCCTGCCTACTGACGGCAACTATCCTGCCTACTGACGGCAACTATCCTGCCTAGGCCATTATTGGGTCGGCACTAGTTGATTCAGTGAGTGCAGCTGCACCTAGTCTGTCTAGCCGCCGCCCACTTCCTGTCAGACCTGCAACACCCACCTCCCACTCCCCACCCCGGTTATCATGTCTATTGACAGAAATCCTCCACACTTTATGTAAATTCAAATTCCCTAACAAGATTGTGTAGAGATAACCTATTTTTGTGAGATGAGATTCCAGAACCTGCCGCTCGCAGAACCGGAAGTCTGTGATGGTGTAGTGTAAACACGCATGTTGGTCGCGCAGGGTCCACCCAGGTCCATAATGGTCGTCTGTCTCGGCTATCTGAGCAGGTGGTGACGTCACCATCGCTAGCTCACCACAGCGGACAACGGCTGGATTATTGCTGTGTTTACAGGGGGCGTCACCTGCATAAGAGGGGAGGTGACCCACGACCTGCGGGGGAGTACACCTGACACCCACGCCAGATAGGGGTGGGGTGTGGGGGTGGGTGTGAAGTTAACTCCCACACGTTTACAAAACTTTCCATGACCTTGCCAAGGTCGACACTACTTCACCATCTGTTCCACCCCCCCCCCCCCCCCAATTACCTGTTCAAGGTTTAAAAAAACCTCACCATGACCGTGTGGATGACCGGTTCACACTACTTCTCACTGACCTGCTTTAACAACGACCTGCTTTAACGCTGACCTACTTTTACGCTGACCTACTTTAACATTGACCTACTTTACACTGACCTACTTTAACACTGGCCTGGTTTAACACTGACCTGGTTTAACTGACCATGTTTAACGCTGGTCTTACTGTAAATGTCCTCTAACACAAATGTTTCTGTCTCCCTAGGCCCAATGTAACGCACTAAAGAGACTTTGCTTCAACGAGGGTATAGACGAGAGTAAAATAGACCAGATACTCATGGTGGAGGAGTGTGTAGTTAGTAAGTATCAGCCGTGTTTTGTGTGTGTGTGTGTGTGTGTTACTCGTGGTAACATTGTATCAACTGTGTGTGGTGTGTGAGTCGTGTTTACGTTGTGTCATCTGTGTATGGTGTGCTAATTGTGTTTACATTGTTAGTATCTGCTGTAGCTGTCTCGTAAGTAAAGTTATCTGTCTTTATACTGCACCACATGCAGCGAATATGGCATGAAAGCTCGAAGCTACAGTGGTACAGTTAAGGTAGTCTAGGGTCTGGGTACGAACTTTTAGCTGGTTTTAGCTTTGTCATCCATCAGATCTAGTTCTTCTAGTCTGGTGAGTTAAAGCAAGCTAGTCATGGGATACTTGAAACTTATGGAGGGATCCTTGAAATTTGTGGAGGGACCCTTGCAACGTATGGAATACTCCTTGTAGCTGATGGGTGTGTTAGGTCTAGCTGATGGTGATGGTGTGTTAGGTCTAGCTGATGGTGATGGTGTGTTAGGTCTAGCTGATGGGTGTGTTAGGCCTAGCTGATGGTGATGGGTGTATTAGGTCTAGCTGATGGGTGTGTTAGGCCTAGCTGATGGGTGTGTTAGGCCTAGCTGATGGGTGTGTTAGGTCTAGCTGATGGGTGTGTTAGGCCTAGCTGATGGGTGTGTTAGGCCTAGCTGATGGGTGTGTTAGGCCTAGCTGATGGGTGTGTTAGGTCTAGCTGATGGGTGTGTTAGGCCTAGCTGTTGGGTGTGTTAGGCCTAGCTGATGGGTGTGTTAGGCCTAGCTGATGGGTGTGTTAGGTCTAGCTGATGGGTGTGTTAGGCCTAGCTGATGGGTGTGTTAGGCCTAGCTGATGGGTGTGTTAGGCCTAGCTGATGGGTGTGTTAGGCCTAGCTGATGGGTGTGTTAGGTCTAGCTGATGGGTGTGTTAGGCCTAGCTGATGGGTGTGTTAGGCCTAGCTGATGGGTGTGTTAGGCCTAGCTGATGGGTGTGTTAGGCCTAGCTGATGGGTGTGTTAGGCCTCGCTTATGGGTGTGTTAGGTCTAGCTGATGGGTGTGTTAGGCCTAGCTGATGGGTGTGTTAGGCCTAGCTGATGGGTGTGTTAGGCCTAGCTGATGGGTGTGTTAGGCCTAGCTGATGTTGGTTTACAGAGGACGGAAATTGAATTGTTCGGCGGCGGATGTTTTCTATCAACACTTCCTCCGTGTAATGAATCAATTAATGATTTGATTGGTTTTTATAATTGCCTGTAAAGCGTGCCATACCTTGATTAGCTGCCATAACTTACCTTTACTTTATCATAATGCAACACAGAGAAGAAGACGCAGGTTTGTGTTTTGAGTCAGTTTTTTGTTCTGTATGATTTCAGTTTCTACACACGCAGACACTTGCTTGCGATTGGTTGAGTTTCACAAACACGTTTCAAACTTCTTTTTCATTCGACACAGTTTTCAGCTTAATTTTTTATTTGACACGATTTTCCGTTCTATTTTGTATTAATTTTTTTTTTTTAGCTTTTTTATAAATTTCACAAGTTGGGCAGTCTTTTAAAGGCTATAACAGCGCGACTTTGCATCGATTTTTATCGTTTTCTGTTTTTTTTTAAAATTATCCTGAGTTATCCTACGATATTTGTTAATGTAAGCTAACTTAACAGATTAAAAGAGTGTGTTGTGTTCAGACTTCGGTCTGTTGTTTGTGGACCTGGTGTGGAGAAATATTTTGTTATATCCTCCTCATCAACCGGCAACCGGCAAATATTAGCCGGCAACCGGCAACTAGGCAGACAGTCAGTGATCGTAAGAGACATGGAGAGTTCACTAAACACTGTCTCGCTAAATAGTGACAACAAACATGTCACGACACTAAACACTGTCTAGCTAGGAACTCGGACAGTCCTGCCAAATGTCATTGACAACATGTCATGGCAGTAAAGCGACCCCATAAATGACACTTTTGATCCCATGAATGATAAGCTTGATCACATGAGTTTTAACCGCACATCACATTTTATTTTTATTTTCGATATTCTAGTACAACTACAACGGCTGCCTCAAGATATTTTTCTTCCAACTTTGTTGCGTTACAATTTCAGCTTTTTAAATCAGCTTAGTCGCTTGTGGGAGAGTTTAAATTTTTTTTGGGAGAAATGTTTAGCTTTCGTGTTTAGCTTTATTAGTCATAGATTCAAAGTGTGCAGCATTTTTTATCACCTTAACTTTAAAACGTTTTCATGGTTATGTTTGCGAAAACAGCTTTTCATTAAAACATCTACTAAGAAGACTTGAAACTGTTTATATAATTCACTTATGTAAGAATATTAGACTTAATTAAAGGTAAGAGTAAGAAGTTAGCGAATGCTAAGTTTGAGCGAGATTTTAATATTTCTTAGACTAGACGATTTCTCTACATATTGTGTTGTTGGTTTTTAAGTTTTTATTCACCGTATAGTCTAATGACATGCACTTTTTCAGGTAGAAATTGTTATGTGTTTATAGATATAGATATATAAAACTTAATTTTCTATTTTATATATATATATATATATATATATATATATATATATATATATATATATATATATATATATATATATATATATATATATATATATATATATATATGCAAAAGGTTAGCTCTATTGTAATTAAACTTTAACATCAAGAGAATTGCCGTTTTAAACAACAAAATACAATTAAAACATTTTTTATACTAAAAAACCTTCTGTAATTTGATCTAAAAAGATGTCGCTGATTAAAGCCAGGGCACGAGGCGCAGTCTGTAGTTCGTGTTTCGTCTGGGAATAGATCTGACATCTAATTTTTAAAGTTTAGAGTATGGAGAAGATGTCTTACAACTGTCTAGTATAGTTACAGTAAAACTTTCACTAATCGGTCGCTCCAATACAACTGTCTAGTATAGTTACAGTAAAACTTTCACTAATCGGCTGCTCCAATACAACTGTCTAGTATAGTTACAGTAAAACTTCCACTAATCGGTCGCTCCAATACAACTGTCTAGTATAGTTACAGTAAAACTTTCACTAATCGGCTGCTCCAATACAACTGTCTAGTATAGTTACAGTAAAACTTTCACTAATCGGTCGCTCCAATACAACTGTCTAGTATAGTTACAGTAAAACTTTCACTAATCGGCTGCTCCAATACAACTGTCTAGTATAGTTACAGTAAAACTTTCACTAATCGGCTGCTCCAATACAACTGTCTAGTATAGTTACAGTAAAACTTTCACTAATCGGCTGCTCCAATACAACTGTCTAGTATAGTTACAGTAAAACTTTCACTAATCGGCTGCTCCAATACAACTGTCTAGTATAGTTACAGTAAAACTTTCACTAATCGGTCGCTCCAATACAACTGTCTAGTATAGTTACAGTAAAACTTTCACTAATCGGTCGCTCCAATATTTCAGATAAAGCTGGGAAAAGCAAATGCAAAATCAAGATCGACAACTCAAGTGTGATTCTTCTGAACGACAAAAGCGACTTTCCTCGGTTGTCGCCCCGACCCTCGCTTCTAAATTTAGCTGCGGACAAATTCGGACGCCGGAAGTCCATGTTGCCCCAGTGTCTGACCGGCATGGACCGAGACATGTGTCTGACCGGCATGGACCGAGACATGTGTCTCACCAACTCTAAAGACAGCCAGGCTAAGGGCATCTTGAAGCCGAGGGCGCGATCCAACTCGGAGAGTGGGCGGGGCACGCTGAGCTCGCCCGAGGACCCGCCCACTCACTCCCACCTGATGGCGGAGGAGAAGTGCTACGGGGGGCTGAACACGCCCATCATCATCAACAGGAAGAGCAGCCTGAGCTCGCCCATCATGGCCACGCACGTCCGCAACATCCTCAACTCACTAGAGGACCGGTGCAACCAGATGAACGGCAGCTGTAGCAGGATCCCCGGGGGGCGGGGCAGCCTGGACGCCGGGAGTCTCACGGAGGAGAAGGAAGTGACGACAAAGAGGTGGGAGAGGCGGGTGCACTCGATCGACGAGTCCCCCCACGAGGCGTACAGCTGCAGCAGACGGGCGTCCTTACAGCCGCAGCACTGTGTGGACGAGGACGATGGCGTCCTGCCCCCAGTGGGGTTCCTGTCCACGGGGTCACCGAGTGCCAGAGGTCTTTCATTGACGTCGTCTGCGCTGGAAGCGGGCGAGAACTCATCCCTTCAAACCCCGCGGTTTTTCATCCCCACAACGATCCAGATCGACCCCCCCTCCAACAACTCTAACTACAGCCTCACGTCCTCCTCTAGTTCTGGAAGTAACAAAAGCACGCGCTACGAGCAGAAGAGAATTACTACTTCCGGTAACACGAATTACGGTTCCATATCATCAAAAGAAGCGCCAACATCCACTGTGGTGGAAATCAACTCCCAGAACGCCAACAGCTGCACACCGCCAGACGTAGCACTGCACCCTGTGTCAACAGAGGCGCCAAAAAACTTTCCTCGGTCGTCTGCCAGCCCGCCTCGACTCTCGTCTGCTGGGGATGCTGTGCTGCCAGTGAGTGGGACCCCCACGGGGGCGGGCAACTACCCCGCCTCCCCCTCCCCCAACCACCTGAAACCCAAGACTCTACGAACGCCGTCAGACATTGAGAACGAGAACAACCTGACCCAGTCGGAGTCCTCAGACGTCTGCGAGTCCCGCAGCAACGATGACGTCACCAGGAACACATCCATAGAGGAGATCGACGACGAGTTCGACAACACCGAATCCATAGTATCGATCTCAGAAAAGGACGCGGCGGTTCTGTCCGGCGATACCGTTGTTCAGAACTGTATTCGAACCGTGACAGTGGATCGATACCACGACGAGGAATCGGAGAACGAAATATCTGCCGGATCGCCCAGTAGCGATAAGTCGACGCTAGATGACGTCAGCATGTTTAGGACAGGGACGATGACGGCGGCTACGTACCTGGTAAACATGGCTGACCATGACCTTAACTCCGACTCGACATCCAATTTACTGAGTTAACCAGTCACGCTTGACCACCCACTGGCCATATGATAGCCGGGCGGTATCGATATTCTGTAGCTAGTAGACACGGTGTTGCTTCAAATCGCTTAGCTTTTCAACTTCATCTTTTGTAGGTAGTGACGTTTTTAAAACTTAACACACGTTGTTGATAAAAGATGAAGCTAAATAAAACCTGACTCGTCTGTGTTGGGCCGGCATCACAACACACTACACACCTGACCTGGATTTCCCCGGTGTAAACAAGGTAACTACCTACACGGTTACTCGTGGATTTCTGTCTTTGGCGAGAGATGGATTCTGTGGATGTGATTGGATTGTGTTATTTATAAACAATTTAAAATTTGTAAACTATTTCTCCCAATATTTATGATTTTACTAGCGAGCAACTAATTAGCAATCCTCATTAACTATTAACTATCATTGTTGTGTCTGAAATGGCGCTGAATTGACTACTATTAACTTATTCAGATGTATATGTCGGAAATGTTCTTTTTATAGTAAATATTTAACTAAAAATGCAATTTAACAAAGTAGAAAAAAATGTATATGGTTATGGTAACAATTATTTTCTTTAAGCAATGATCGCTTTCAGTCATGACCATTTCAGCAATGACCATTTACTTTCTATTATGTATAGTTTGTCTTGTGTTAAAAATCTTTTACACTAAAGTTCGTGTAAAGTTAAAATATTGAGACAGTGTTCGAGTATTGAGACAGTGTTCGAGTATTGAGACAGTTTTAGAATATTGAAACAGTGTTAGAATATTGAGACAGTTTTATTGAGACAGTGTTCGAGTATTGAGATAGTGTTCGAGTTTGGGACAGTGTGTACATGGTGTGTACATGGTGTGTACATGACATACACAAAAAGCACAATATATGTCATCACCACTAAGATGTATTGCACAGATGACGCTGTAGATTTTTGGTCAAACACAGCTGAACTTTGAACTTTTTAAACTTAAATAGAAACACTACTGTAAAAAACTTTGTTTACATATGCTAACAGTTTAGGTTTTATTTTGAGTGAAAATATAGCCAGATTTTTGTTTATTGATTCTATGTTGGCCACTGGCCTCCCATGTCATGCAACTGACCTGTCATTGACCTGTCATTGACCTGTCATTGACCTCTCACCCCTCTGCCACCCGCCATCTTTACTTCATCCACGTACTGAGACATTACTTCCTATTTAGCCGGTTATTATTGAGCATTGTGACGTCATTGTTACGAGTCTAACTCAGCCACAATAGAGTTCCAGGCGCTTCTACGACGGCAGCTTCTAGCAATGTCATTTAGCCGTGTCTTCTAGCAATGTCATCTGGCAATGTCATCAGCGGTGTCATCGTCATGATTTATTTAAAACGGGTTTTTTCTGTGATGCAATATTTGTTCATGTGACATCTACTCCACGTATGTTGACTTCAAGCGGCCCATTCAAAAATTTAAAATAGAATTGTACAAATTTTGCGTGCTAAAGTCATTACCAAACAAACCAGAGCAAATAAACCTGCACGTAATTAAAGTTATGCAGATAGCATGTTAAGACAAGCTGAATTCCTACTATAGCTAAAGGGCGGTAACCAGTTATTTAAACTTTTCATTAAGTTATTTCCCTTGTTGGTCTGTTTCCACATCTATGCAAAAGTGTTCCAAAGCATTGGTTTGCTTCAAGCAATGGCTGGCTTTACCCTAGCTGCAAATCACGACAGTCTTGTCTGAACTTTGTTTACCATTTCTTCTGAGTTCATCATCATTAATTAATTAATTAATTAGTTTATTGTTAGTTAACGTGTGAGAAATTAATTTGAATAAATTATCTGAGTCTAGACAGGCTGGTATATGACTGTATTACTCCCTCTTGTCTTAATGAGCCAAGATTTGACCGGATAACTTGAGCAATGCACCGAATTATGCAATGTAAAAATTGTTTTTTGTTGTCGTCACATGAGTAGTCGTTCTTGTCGTGCCCTACACCACTGAGTAGATCACAACTGATCTAAGTTTATTTTCTACACATTGTCCTATTTCACACTTGTTCAAATGTTCTTTCACCGCCGTTTTTTAAACGTAACGACAGTTGATTGTCAGTCTCATATTTATTATGTCTTACTTTTTTAGGGGGCGTCCATAAACGACGTCAAACTCTTAAGAGGATAGGGGGGGGGGAGGTAGGATTGAGGGGTGGGATTTTGTGACAAGGTTTTAGAAATGGGACGTCACTATTTTATTTTAAAGAAAATCAAACTAAATTTTAATTGTTTTTTCTCCGCCCTTAATGCATCTCATGAGGCTTGTGTTTTAGTATTTTTTTCTGGCAAAGGGAAAGAATTAACTTGTAATATTTTCGGCAGTTACCTTTGCTTGGCTACATTTTTTTTAGAAAAATGAAACTGAAAATATGGGATTGGCTGGTAGATCTCACTTCTTGTGGCGTTACTGGCGGGGGGGGGGGGGGGGGGGGGGGGGGGGAAGGGGAATGTTCAAAAAGAGCGTGACGTCATTTATGGACGGCACTTGTCTATTTAAAGCATGTCTTTTACACACATTGCATTAGGGGGTGTGAGGTACTCACAGGCTGCAAGCTGGACATGGCTTATGATATCCTCTCCTCACAGTGTCTGCTGGGTCTAAGATACACCTTGTGATAACCGTGGTCCATTGGCGACTGTGGTCCACCATTGACCGTGGTCCACCATTGACCGTGGTCCACCATTGACCGTGGTCCACCATTGACCATGGTCCACCATTGACCGTGGTCCACCATTGACCGTGGTCCACCATTGACCGTGGTCCATCATAGACCGTGGTCCACCATTGACCGTGGTCCACCATTGACCGTGGTCCACCATTGACCGTGGTCCACCATTGACCGTGGTCCATCATAGACCGTGGTCCACCATTGACCGTGGTCCACCATTGACCGTGGTCCATCATAGACCGTGGTCCACCATTGACCGTGGTCCATCATTGACCGTTGTCCATCATAGACCGTGGTCCATCATAGACCGTGGTCCATCATAGACCGTGGTTCATCGGCGACCGTGGTCCATCATAGACCGTGGTCCATCATAGACCGTGGTCCATCATAGACCGTGGTCCATCATAGACCGTGGTCCACCATTGACCGTGGTCCACCATTGACCGTGGTGCACCAGCGACGCCAACAGTACCAGTGCACTAACATAGTCTGCCATGACATGCCCACCCCGCCCCCCCCCCCCCCCACCCATATGTTGCACCCAGCTTCCTGTAGATGCAGGCCTGTAGCTCTAGTGCCTTTAATTCCCCTCCCCCCTCCCCCTGTAGGTGGGGATACTCGGCTCCGTCTTGTTTATGTCTTGCCCTAGATGAAAAGCAATACACGTATATAGATACACTTATCTCAGCAATACACGTATATAAATACACTTATCAGCACTACACGTATATAAATACATTTATCTCCATACACTTATCTTACCAATACACTTATCTCCATACACTTATCTTACCAATACACTTATCAACACACACTTATCTCAGCAATACACGTATATAAATACACTTATCTCAGCAATACACGTATATAAATACACTTATCTCAGCAATACACGTATCTTCATACACTTATCTCAGCAATACACGTATATAAATACACTTATCTCAGCAATACACTTATTTCAGCAATACACGTATCTTCATACACTTATCTCAGCAATACACGTATATAAATACACTTATCTCAGCAATACACGTATATAATTACACTTATCTCAGCAATACACGTATCTCCACACTTATCTCAGCAGTACACTTATCTACACACATTTATGTCAGTTTCCTGCGGTCAGTTGTAACCTCTTAATTCATTTCAAGTACACACTACACAACTCCCAGTAAACAAATCTCCACAACAATACATTACTGTACATGGTGCATCACATCAATACACTAGTATACATAGTGTATCACAACAACACCCCTTCTAGACTCCACTTCTCCTTGAGCCAACAGTAGTTGAAACAGTACACCACAAACACCAGCTCGGGATACATTGACCAAAGGTGACATGACACCATCTCACCACGAGTCTACCACCACATGGTACACACAGTAGATGTCACCAACACCCTTCCACTGGCCATCTCAACTAGTACTCACTCACACATAATTCTATTTTTGTCACGAGAATGGATGACCTTTAATCCCAAGTCGATTACTTCATGTTACTTCCTGCTTGAGAAAGATTAGTCATAGTGTTTTAATTGTAATCAAAATATTAAAATCTCGTCCATTCAATCTCACAATCTGACATTCAAGGTAAGCCAGAAAGTGGATGTGTACCACAGTGTGTACTAAATGTGTACCATAGTGTGTACTAGATGTGTACTGCGGTGTACTTTAGAGTCTAGGCACAGACATCACGATATCTGATGGTCAGACATCTCCATGTGTGATGGTCAGACATCTTGATACCAGATGGTCAGACATCATGATACCTGATGTGTGAGGGTCAGACATCTCGATATCTGATGTAGGACGGAAAGGCATGTCAATATCTGTCGACAAAGACCCGATATAGCACATGCTCAATGTAGTTGATGTCATGCTTCAGTCTAGGGTCAAATCTAGGTCCCTGAGACCTAGACCAAATCAGAGTGACAGAAACTAGACTTTTTCTAAAGTTCTCCATCATCTCCTCCCATTTTTGTGAGACGAATCTTTCACGTCCAGCAATATTCAAATGATTTGTCCAGTTCTTCACCAATTTGATGACGATTCTATTCTTGTTATAAACTCTAAATACACTTGACTAGCATATAGATGTTACTTACCTTTTAGCATAAAGATAGAGGTGTAATGATCGAACATAATTACATTCTGTAACCATTACATGATAGCACTGTTACCCTATGTAATCGTTACATTATGTAACTATTACGTTCTGTGGGAAATACATTTTGTAATCATTACACTATGTTTCCAATACATTATGTAAGTATTACATTATGTAACCATTACATTGTGTAACCACTACATTGTGTAATCATTACATTGTGTAACCATTACACTCCTTGCCAAATAAACCATCCTGTATCCTAGCTAGAATTTTTTTATTAGACATGTTCTAAAAATTGTTGGATTGACCTTTAATATATTCTGATAATGTATATTTTTCTTTTGCACCATTCTTAAACTGTTCAATTAGTCCATGCGACTGTTTGTTCAACATCGAAAAGTTCTTAAACTGTTTCCATTTGTTAGAATATTAGACTTGTCTCATCGCAAGCCATGGCATCTTTCAACAGCATAGCAACATGACATTTGACTTGTGTCATCTCCCTATTATGACATCTACAAACAACACACCGATTTGACATTCAACTTGTGACATTTACCCCGCACACGGTTTGCCAGCATCTCATCATTAAGACAAGTGACGTGTGACATCTACACTTATCATCTCCAACTGACACACCATCATGACATATGACATGTGTCATTGTTTCATCATGTCATCTTCAAATGACACACCAACACGACTTTTGACATGTGCCATTGCCTCATCATGTCATCTTCAAATGACACACCAACATGCCAAATGACATGTGTCATTGCCTCATCATGTCATCTGCAAGCAACATGCGCTATCTGAACGTTTAGTAAATTAAAATTTATTCTATTTATAGTACAAGCCTTGTGTTTTCTTTTCATTGAAAGACCTTTAGACTTAATGACTTAAATTAGACTTAATGACTAATTAGACTTCATGACTTTAATTAAACTTAATGATTTTAATTACGCTTAATGATTTTAATTACACTTAATGACTATAATTAAATTTAATTACTATAATTAAACTTAATGACTTTATGTAGACTTAAATTAATGACTTAAATATTAGACTTAATAACTTTAATTAGACTTAATAACTATAATTAGACATAATGACTTTAATTAGACTTAATGACTTTAATTAGACTTAATGACTTTAATCAGACTTAATAACTTGTATTACTATGATTAGACTTAATAACTTTAATTACACTTAATTATTATGATTAGACTTAATAACTTTAATTACACTTAAATACTATGATTAGACTTAATAACTTTATTAAATTTAGTAACTTTAATTAGACTTAATAACTTTTATTAAACTTAATGACTTTAATAAAATTTAATGGCACTAGACTTAATGCCTTTAATTAGACTTAATGACTTTAATAAGACCAAATGACCTTCTGATGAAAAATTTCATCCACCGCCTCTTTACCCATCTGTATCCAAACGAAGAGAAATCTGAAGCTAATAAAGTGAGTGGTTTACGTATACATGTCTCCTCCAACTACTACAGACTGTCTTACACAGTGAATCAATTAGACTGCAGCAAATAAAGTCAGTGTCTATATCTCTACCTACTACAGACTGTCTTACACAATGAATCAACTCGACACACTGAAGTTTAACCATAGACTGCAGTCAGCGTTGACTTTGTGATTACACAAAATTCAGCTCACAAAATAAGTGGAGAAATGTAAAGAACATTGAAGCAGACAATGTTAATGACAGGATGTACCTCTAGTGGAGCTGTCATTCGTAGTTCTATTTTTGGCAGATGTATTCTTTATCCTTTGCTGGCTCTGGTACCAAAGTAACTATCGCCTCACCCCCCAACCGCCCTTACTAGAACAGTCCGGCGCCCACCAGGCGGCGATATGGCCTAGTTTGGGGACCACAGGCTCCTCTCCGCTGCGCCAACTGCCACCGACAAAAGACATGTTTTGTCGCTAACCTGATCTAGCGGGCGTTGACCTATGACGTCACAACCTGCAGTCTGCCTTTCAGTGAAACAAGATGTTTACCAATTAAGTAGGTCGACTTGTCTTAACTCTGGTAGTGGTGGTAGAATGTTTACCATCTAGGTCGACATGTCTTAACTCTGGTAGTGGTGGTAGAATGTTTACCATCTAGGTCGACATGTCTTAACTCTGGTAGTGGTGGTAGAATGTTTACCATCTAGGTCGACATGTCTTAACTCTGGTAGTGGTGGTAGAATGTTTACCATCTAGGTCGACATGTCTTAACTCTGGTAGTGGTGGTAGAATGTTTACCATCTAGGTCGACATGTCTTAACTCTGGTAGTGGTGGTAGAATGTTTACCATCTAGGTCGACATGTCTTAACTCTGGTAGTGGTGGTAGAATGTTTACCATCTAGGTCGACATGTCTTAACTCTGGTAGTGGTGGTAGAATGTTTACCATCTAGGTCGACATGTCTTAACTCTGGTGTTGCCAACATTGTCGACTTGACAACACTTACAATCTACAATTAATCTACAACTAACCTACAACTAATCTACAACTAATCTCACATGGTGCCAGAACTCGATGGGTTCGACTCGAGAAATGTTGAAAGTGCCGGACTTACCAATGTTAACTAGGGCAGTTGAAGTAGAGTTTGTCTGAATATGTGTCTTCGGAATATGGAGTGTGGTCAAAGGAATACACCGATATTTTGACTTTCCGATGAAAAGTTCAAGGTAATTTTACAGGCTCTCGAACTCTTAGCTTGATGGCAAACAAAAAATACCGAGCCAGTTAACTAGGTAAAGAGCAAAAACACAGCCGAGTTTGGTGAAAATTTACCAGCAAAGTTACCAGCAAATTGACCAGCAGTTACCAGCAAAATTTTGGAGAAAAACCTCTCCGCCCCCACCCCCTTCCACACAATCACAGACTTAAAAGTGTGATGAACAAATTTTCCATTTTGTCTGGATATAAAAAGACGTTAATTTTTATACTGAAGTGAAACCGCGTAATTGATAAATATTTGAAGAGATGACTTAGTTTAAACACCAAAATATTTGAAGAGTTGACTTAGATTAAACACCAAAATATTTGAAGAGTTGACTTAGATTAAACACCAAAATATTTGAAGAGCTGACTTAGATTAAACACCAAAATATTTGAAGAGTTGACTTAGATTAAACACCAAAATATTTGAAGAGTTGACTTAGATTAAACACCAAAATATTTGAAGAGTTGACTCTGATTAAAGAGTAAAATATTTGTATAGTTGACTTAGATTAAACACCAAAATATTTGAAGAGTTGACTCTGATTAAAGAGTAAAATATTTGTATAGTTGACTTAGATTAAACACCAAAATATTTGAAGAGTTGACTTAGATTAAACACCAAAATATTTGAAGAGTTGACTTAGTTTAAACACCAAAATATTTGAAGAGTTGACTCAAACACCAAAATATTTGAAGAGTTGACTCAAACACCTAACTCAGTAAAAGTACCTGGCTTATGACCCAGTTCCCGGCACTTTGAGAAGAAACGTTCTATTAAGACGAGATTAGCGACCTGTTATCTAGTTACAGTTAGGTTACATCAGGCGGTGCAAGTGTGGCCACACAGCGTGGGTCGTGTGTCAAAAACTTTCTGTGACATGCTGGACCCAAAGCCTGCTGAGTACTGACCACTGCTGAGATGAACTCAGGCAGCGAGAGGACGTTGCCTATTGACCGTGGCTGGGCCTGGGTCATTTGTTTTGGTGAGTCACTTTTTAACCGGCTATTTAAGTAGGTGGTTATTTACATTGTTGTAGGTGGGACTATTTTGTGTAATTTGCGAGACTGCCCAGATACCTTTGACCACAAAGACTGTACAGATACCTTTAACCGCAGCACCTAACTCCCGTGAAGTTCTCAGTGTAAACGAACAAGTGTATACAGCGATCATAAAGAGTTCATTCATGTCACGAAGCAAATCAAATGTACATTTCATGTTTCCGACTCGTGGTACTGTTTGCGTCCGTTACACAACTTACGCCAGCAATCACGTGACACAGCTAAGTCAATGTTACGTGACACACCCATGTCAATGTTCACGTCACACACCCATGTTCACGTGACACACCCATGTTCACGTGACACACCCATGTTCACATGACACACCCATGTCAATGTTCACGTCACAATGTTCACATGACACACCCATGTTACGTGACACACCCATGTCAAAGTTCACCTGACGACACACCCCTGTCAAAGTTCACGTGACACACCCATGTCAATGTTCACCTGACGACACACCCCTGTCAATGTTCACCTGACGACACACCCATGTCAAAGTTCACCTGACGACACACCCCTGCCAACGTTAACAAAGCAGACGTCTCTATTCCAGCTGGGTTCATCATCCACTTCATGTTCGGCAGTGCCGGCCAGACCCACGCCATCCTACTGGGAGAGTTGATCGAGAAGTTCTCGACCACCATCACAACCATCTCCTTCATCTTCACTGGCGGGATCCTGACCTTCAGCATTGTCTGTAAGTTGGTGGCCTATGTAGGTTGGTGCCCTATGCAAGTTAATGGCCTCTGTAAGTTGGTGCCCTCTGTAGGTTGGTGCCCTCTGTAGGTTGGTGCCCTCTGTAGGTTGGTGCCCTTTAGCAAGCTGCTACCTTCTGTAAACTGGTGCCTCCTAAGAGTCTGTGGGTAAAGTGTTTTTGTGTCGTCGGTACACAATTTGTGGTCAAACGGTAGAACATTCTTTCTAGAGTTCGAACTCAGGTTATAAGCCTCCCCCTAATGCTATCTACTACACCAACATCCTCCCCCACACAGCTAACCAGGCTATCTTTTATTATGTTGGTTTTCCAATACGGAAGCGCAATTACCAGACAGCTAATTAGTCATTTAATCAGCAAAGCAGACCTGTATATTTATGAAATCCCGCCATTTCTTGCCGAAATCCCCAGTCTTCCAGTGAATGGGAATCTTGACATTGCGAACTTTGACCTGAAACTTGACATTGCGAACTTTCACCTGAATGCGGCTTATCGTTGTGACAAACACACAGATTGTGTCAATAAAAGAAAAAAAAACTACTCTCACAGATGGAATGGCATCAACCTAATTAGGTGGTTGACGTTAAGGCAAATACACATAAATATATTTATATGTCTGTTTGTGTGCAGAGGGGGGGGGGGGGGGGTGTGTGTGTGTGGGAGGTGTGTGATTTAATTATATATTACTTTTAGCAGACACACCCGTTTATTTATGTTCTTAAATACTCGAGATCTATTGAAAGTCTCTGTGGAAATATAAATAACAAGAATATTCTTTTTGGAATCTCAGCTGTTGTTTCGGCATCGTTTCTTCTCCCGAGGATCGGCGAGAGATGGTGTCTCATTTTAGGGGGCCTGTCGTGCACCCTGGTGTCCATAGGTCAAGGTCATACGACCCACGTGGGTGTCATGATCGCTCTTGAATGCTGCAGAGGTAAGCTCATACACTTTACGTTAGCTACGTACATTGACACTACATAACCTCATACACTTTACGTTAGTTACATACCCTCATACACTTTACGTTAGTTACATACCCTCATACACTTTATGTTATCTACATACCCTCACACTACATAATCCCATACAGTATACTTATCTACATACCCTTACACAGTGAACGTTAGGTACACAACCTCACGAAAATAGCCGCACTAGAGTCGTGTGATGTAGTACAATGTCTGACCATAAAAAAAATGTCTGACCATAAACAAAATATCTTCGCTCTTGTACAATGCTGACAATATGTTAGTAATGAATTTAAAGCTTATTAAAAAATTGCCTATGTTAGCTGTTTGTCTTTCTTAACTTAACAGAAACCAGTTAAGTCGACTTGTTTAAATCAACAAAACTGTGTTCCACGTCTTGCAGGATTATGTCACGGCATCATCTTCGTGCCGTCCATCTGTCTGATCAGGAAATATTTCGACAAGCGCCGTTCTACCGCCAGCGTCATCGTCTTCTGTGGGGGGTGCTTCGCCTCTATCGTCGGCCCTTTCATCATCAGGGCCATCAAGAAGGAATACGGGATCGCTGGGACATACACACTGTTGGGCGCACTAGAGCTGCACTTTGTTCTGGCCGGGCTCCTGCTTCGTCCTGTCACTTTCTACAAGTAGGTCAATACATTCATAGCAGGCTCCTGCTCCGTTCTGTCACTTTCTACAAGTAGGTCAATACATTCATAGCAGGCTCCTGCTTCGTCCTGTCACTTTCTACAAGTAGGTCAATACATTCATAGCAGGCTCCTGCTCCGTTCTGTCACTTTCTACAAGTAGGTCAATACATTCATAGCAGGCTCCTGCTTCGTCCTGTCACTTTCTACAAGTAGGTCAATACATTCATAGCAGGCTCCTGCTTCGTTCTGTCACTTTCTACAAGTAGGTCAATACATTCATAGCAGGCTCCTGCTTCGTTCTGTCACTTTCTACAAGTAGGTCAATACATTCATAGCAGGCTCCTGCTTCGTCCTGTCACTTTCTACAAGTAGGTCAATACATTCATAGCAGGCTCCTGCTTCGTCCTGTCACTTTCTACAAGTAGGTCAATACATTCATAGCAGGCGCCTGCTTCGTTCTGTCACTTTCTACAAGTAGGTCAATACATTCATAGCAGGCTCCTGCTTCGTGCTGTCACTTTTTACAAGTAGGTCAATACATTCATAGCAGGCTCCTGCTTCGTCCTGTACTTTTTACAAGTAGGTCAATACATTCATTGCAGGCTCTTGCTTCGTCCTGTACTTTCTACAAGTAGGTCAATACATTCATAGCAGGCTCCTGCTTCGTCCTGTACTTTCTACAAGTAGGTCAATACATTCATAGCAGGCTCCTGCTTCGTCTTGTCACTTTCTACAAGTAGGTCAATACATTCATAGCAGGCTCCTGCTTCGTCCTGTCACTTTCTACAAGTAGGTCAATACATTTATAGCAGGCTCCTGTTCCGTCCTGTCGCTTTCTACAAGTAGGTCAATACATTCATAGCAGGCTCCTGCTTCGTCCTGTCACTTTCTACAAGTAGGTCAATACATTCATAGCAGTGCTGGATTTAGGTATAAGTTAAAGAAGACATAAGGACTTCCAACTTTTTACTGTGAATCAACAAGAGCCATATACTTAAATAAACTACACCAGGTTAATTAATTAGTCATTTTTGGTAAAATGTCTTAAGTGGAATGTGTGTTCCTGTGTCAAGACTTTCTATTGTGACGTCAGTTTGTAAGACATATTGATGCATTTTACGTCTTTCATGTGTAAATTCTTATTTTAATTCAAAGTTTGGTAACATAATACACATTTGTTAAAATTAGCCCTAGCACTGCACTTAGGAGGGAAAATGTTTGGATATTTTAGTCCCACAATTTTGGTCACATATGGTTTCACCATAGTGTTAAAATTTTTAAATTTATTTTTTATTGTGGTCCTATTTCCAGGCAACCTGTAGAGGTACTGAACGTGGACATGGATGTGATCCCCGCAGACCTGGAATCTCAGACTATAGCGCTACCTGAACACCAGGTGGAGAAACCGTTGTCTAATGGCACCGAGACGAATGGACAAACCAAGTTCCTGGACACCCCAGGTAGACTGCTGAGGTCACGTAGTGTGGAGGAGCAGACGAGTAGGCCGTTTCTTAGGACGAGAACCTTCTCTGTAGAGTCTGAGGGGGAGGTGGACAGGTGAGTTCACAGGTGGGAGGTGTGTAGACAGGTGGGAGGTGTGTAGGCAGGTGGGAGGTGTTTAGACAGGTGAGAGGTGTGTAGACAGGTGGGAGGTGTGTAGACAGGTGTGTAGACAGGTGGCAGGTGTGTAGACAGGTGTGTAGACAGGTGACAGGTGTGTAGACAGGTGACAGGTGTGTAGACAGGTGGGAGGTGTGTAGACATGTGGGAGGTGTGTAGGCAGGTGGGAGGTGTGTAGACAGGTGGGAGGTGTGTAGACAGGTGACAGGTGTGTAGACAGGTGGGAGGTGTGTAGAAAGGTGGGAGGTGTGTAGACAGGTGGGAGGTGTGTAGAAAGGTGGGGGTGTGTAGACAGGTGGGAGGTGTGTAGAAAGGTGGGGGTGTGTAGACAGGTGGGAGGTGTGTAGACAGGTGACAGGTGTGTAGACAGACGGGAGGTGTGTAGAAAGGTGGGGGTGTGTAGACAGGTGGAAGGTGTGTAGACAGGTGGACAGGTGAGTACACGGGTGACAGGTGTGTAGACAGGTGGGAGGTGTGTAGACAGGTGAGAGGTGCGTAGATAGGTGACAGGTGTGTAGACAGGTGGGAGGTGTGTAGAAAGGTGGGGGTGTGTAGACAGGTGGGAGGTGCGTAGAAAGGTGGGGGTGTGTAGACAGGTGGGAGGTGTGTAGACAGGTGACAGGTGTGTAGACAGGTGGGAGGTGTGTAGACAGGTGACAGGTGTGTAGACAGGTGGGAGGTGTGTAGACAGGTGGGGGGTGTGTAGACAGGTGGGAGGTGTGTAGACAGGTGACAGGTGTGTAGACAGGTGGGAGGTGTGTAGACAGGTGACAGGTGTGTAGACAGGTGGGAGGTGTGTAGACAGGTGGGAGGTGTGTAGACAGGTGGGAGGTGTGTAGAGAGGTGACAGGTGTGTATACAGAAGGGAGGTGTGTAGACAGGTGGGAGGTGTGTAGACAGGTGGGAGGTGTGTAGACAGGTGTGTAGACAGGTGTGTAGACAGGTGGGAGGTGTGTAGACAGGTGGGAGGTGTGTAGACAGGTGGGAGGTGTGTATACAGGTGATAGGTGTGAAGACAGGTGGGAGGTGTGTAGACAGGTGGGAGGTGTGTAGACAGGTGGGAGGTGTGTAGACAGGTGGGAGGTGTGTAGACAGGTGGATGTGAAGACAGGTGGGAGGTGTGTAGACAGGTGACAGGTGTGTAGACAGGTGTGAGGTGTGTAGACAGGTGGGGGTGTGTAGACAGGTGGGAGGTGTGTAGACAGGTGGGAGGTGTGTAGACAGGTGTGTAGACAGGTGTGTAGACAGGTGTGTAGACAGGTGGGAGGTGTGTAGACAGGTGTGTAGAAAGGTGGGAGGTGTGTAGACAGGTGACAGGTGTGTAGATAGGTGGATTTGTAGACAGGTGGGAGGTGTGTAGACAGGTGACAGGTGTGTAGACAGGTGTGAGGTGTGTAGACAGGTGGGGGTGTGTAGACAGGGGGGAGGTGTGTAGACAGGTGGGAGGTGTGTAGACAGGTGTGTAGACAGGTGGGAGGTGTGTAGACAGGTGTGTAGAAAGGTGGGAGGTGTGTAGACAGGTGGGAGGTGTGTAGACAGGTGGGAGGTGTGTAGACAGGTGGGAGGTGTGTAGACAGGTGGATGTGTAGACAGGTGGGAGGTGTGTAGACAGGTGACAGGTGTGTAGACAGGTGTGAGGTGTGTAGACAGGTGGGAGGTGTGTAGACAGGTGGGGGTGTGTAGACAGGTGGGGGTGTGTAGACAGGTGGGAGGTGTGTAGACAGGTGTGTAGAAAGGTGGGAGGTGTGTAGACAGGTGAGAGGTGTGTAAACAGGTGAGATGTGTGTAGACAGGTGGGAGGTGTGTAGACAGGTAACAGGTGTGTAGACAGGTGGGAGGTGTGTAGACAGGTGGGGGTGTGTAGACAGGTGGGGGTGTGTAGACAGGTGTGAGGTGTGTAGACAGGTGTGTAGAAAGGTGGGAGGTGTGTAGACAGGTGAGAGGTGTGTAAACAGGTGAGAGGTGTGTAGACAGGTGGATGTGTAGACAGGTGGGAGGTGTGTAGACAGGTGGGAGGTGTGTAGACAGGTGTGTAGAAAGGTGGGAGGTGTGTAGACAGGTGAGAGGTGTGTAAACAGGTGAGAGGTGTGTAGACAGGTGGGAGGTATGTAGACAGGTAACAGGTGTGTAGACAGGTAACAGGTGTGTAGACAGGTGGGAGGTGTGTAGACAGGTGAGTGCGCGGATGACAGGAGTATAGACAGCTGACAGGTGTATAGATAGGTGAGAGGTTTGTAGACAGGGGAGTAGTCAGTTGACATGTATGTAGACAGAAGGGTGTACCTGTGACAGATGACTTTACCCTGCGTGAATGTTTACACCTTAGAGGTGAGAGTCAGAGTAACAAGACACACTGACTCGACATGACCCATCAAATATTGTGACGACTTGTGGATTAATTTGACATGTAATGATACGATGTAACCTTGACATTCAGCAAGCCCAACATGATGCTGGGCAGCGTCCTGTCACTGACCAGTGAGCTAGGAGCTGCCCTACAGAACGTCAGCGCTGACTCTCGACCAGCGGCGTCACCACTGGCCAGCAGGGGCGGGGCTAGCCGGACCGCAGCACTGGCCAAGTTCTACTACGACGCCTGCCTCAAGTGAGTTCACTCCCCTTATTCCTGATTAGCTGGTTAAGTTGAAGTTCTGAAATACAATCTGACCAAACTAATTTCTCAAGCATAAATGCCATGCTTGATTTAATTTTATAACACTATAAGCGTATGTTGTGTAAAATTTAACTTTATAAAACCAACAGCATATGTTGTGTAGATGTTATCGATGTTTACTATAAAACCAACAGCGTATGTTGTATAGATGGTGTGATGTTTACTATAAAAACCAAGAGTGTATGTTGTGTAGTTGGTGTTGATGTGTAGTATAAAACCAAGATGGTATGTTGTGTAGACGGTGTTGATGTTTACCATACAACCTTCGCTGACCGACCCCTTGTGTCCACAGCCTGTGGGGGTTCCGTGTGGCCCTGCTGGCCATCATCCCAGGCACGGCCAACGTCTACATGGCCATCTACCTGCCCATGGTGCTCAACAGTCTGGTAAACTCAGTTCCTCTCAGTTCCTCTCAGTTCCTCTCAGTTCCTCTCAGTTCCTCTCAGTTCCTCTCAGTTCCTTTCAGTTCCTCTCAGTTCCTCTCAGTTCCTCTCAGTTCCTCTCAGTTCCTCTCAGTTCCTCTCATGCTTCTCAGTTCCTCTCAGTTCCTCTCAGTTCCTCTCAGTTCCTCTCATGCTTCTCAGTTCCTCTCAGTTCCTCTCAGTTCCTCTCAGTTCCTCTCAGTTCCTCTCATGCTTCTCAGTTCCTCTCAGTTCCTCTCAGTTCCTCTCAGTTCCTCTCAGTTCCTCTCAGTTCCTCTCTGTTCCTCTCAGTTCCTCTCAGTTCCTCTCAGTTCCTCTCAGTTCCTCTCAGTTCCTCTCACCTTCCTCTCAGTTCCTCTCAGTTCCTCTCAGTTCCTCTCAGTTTCTCTCATGCTTCTCAGTTCCTCTCACCTTCCTCTCAGTTCCTCTCAGTTCCTCTCATGCTTCTCAGTTCCTCTCGCCTTCCTCTCAGTTCCTCTCAGTTCCTCTCAATTCCTCTCAGCTCTTCTTACTTTAATTCTTACTTTAATGTTCATTCATAATAAGAATAGTTTGTCCTTAGACATTTAACTTAAGGCAGCCGGATAAGAAATCTTACGCCTGTTCAAATCATACAAAACTTGTTTGAAATCGCGAGGTATAAATGAAGTATTTCTGCTCCCCTCCCCACCCCTGCTACCAGGTTTAAACACAATTTCTTTCTTTCAGGGCGCATCGCTTGATGACGTGTCAATCCTGCTGACCATCGTAGGGGTCACTGACCTTCTGAGTCGTCTGGTCATGGGGTTTATTGCGGACACGCATGTGTTGTCGTCTACAGTCATGTTGATCATCTCACAGATCTTCTTTGGTCAGTTCACAACTTGTCAGTCCACTACTTGTCAGTCCACAACTTGTCAGTCCACAACTTGTCAGTTCACAACTTGTCAGTTTACAATTTGTCAGTTCACAACTTGTCAGTTTACAATTTGTCAGTTCACAACTTGTCAGTTCACAACTTGTCAGTTTACAATTTGTCAGTTCACAACTTGACAGTTTACAATTTGTCAGTTCACAACTTGTCAGTTCACAACTTGTCAGTTCACAACTTGTCAGTTCACAACTTTTCTGTACCAACACCACTACCAAGCCTCCACTACCATCAACCACCCACTAACACTACTACCATCACTCCACCAACCATCCACTAACACCGTTACCCCCCCCCCCCCCCCCCAGCCATCCTCTGCCAGCTTGTATGGCTGTTTACGACCTTCGAGACGCTGATTGTCTTGGTGCTACTGCTGGGTCTGGTCATCGGTTCCAGAATCTCGCTGCTGTCGCTGGTGGTCATTGAGGTGGTGGGGGTGGAGAAGATGCCGCAGGCGTTCAGCTTTATATCCATGGTGTCCACTGTGGCAGCTGCAGCCGTTAATCCAGCTTTAGGTCAGTGATTCAGCCATAGAGGTAGCCATATGTGAGTCATACAGCCATAGCGGTAGTCATATGAGAGTCATACAGCCATAGAGGTAGCCATGTGTGAGTCATACAGCCATAGAGGTAGCTATATGTGAGTCATACAGCCATAGAGGTAGCCATATGCGAGTCATACAGCCATAGAGGTAGCCATATGTGAATCATACAGCCATAGAGGTAGCCATATGTGAGTCATACAGCCATAGAGGTAGCCACATGTGAGTCATACAGCCATAGAGGTAGCCATGTGTTAGTCATACAGCATTAGAGGTAGCCGTTCGTGAGTCACATGCATAGAGCCAACCTCTAAAAAAAGTTGATGCTGTCCTATATGTTTGATTAGAATTGAAAAAGTTGATGTTGTCCCATATGTTTGACCAGGGTTGAAAAAGTTGATGTTATCCCATATGTTTGACCAGGGTTGAAAAAGTTGATGTTATCCCATATGTTTGACCAGGGTTGAAAAAGTTGATGTTATCCCATATGTTTGACAAGGGTTGAAAAAGTTGATGTTATCCCATATGTTTGACCAGGGTTGAAAAAGTTGATGTTATCCCATATGTTTGACAAGGGTTGAAAAAGTTGATGTTATCCCATATGTTTGACAAGGGTTGAAAAAGTTGATATTATCCCATATGTTATCCCGACAGGTGCCGTGACGGAGGCGACCGGCTCCTTCATCGTGTCGCTCCACATAGTCGGGGGGTGCTACTTCCTGGGTGGGGCGCTCTTCACGGTCGTGCCACGTCTGGTTAGGATGGACATCAAGCACGGCAGACGATCATGACCCTGATCTATAGCAGGCGACCATGACCCTGATCTATAGCAGACGACCATGACCTTGATTGTGTCCATGACCTTGAAAGTATAGCAGACGACCATGACCCTTACGATATAGCAGACGACCATGACCCTGACGGTTTTGAAAACGACCTTGACACTGATAAACTTGTGTTCAATGTGAAATTTAAAATTCTCGAAATGTTTATATTTTAATTGCTCTGAATGTTTATATTTTAATTGCTCTTAATATTTTTATTCAAACTCATGAAATTCTTTTACTTGTTCTAAATATCAATATTTGAATTGCTCAGAATTTTATATTTTTAATTACTCTATAAATATTTAAAATGCTCTAAATATTAACATTTGAATTGCTCAAAATTTTTATATTTTAATTATTAATTAAATATTTTAAATAATCTAAATATTTATATTGTAAATGCTCTAAATATAAAATTTTAATTGCTCCAAATTTAGTATATTTTAATTTATCTAAATTTGTAAATTTAATTATTTTTAAAAAACTTTTCATTCTAAAAATTTCTCTTGCCCCGTTTTCATCGGGTTAAAATTTGGCTAATTTACGTTCCTACCTCCAATGTGCGAGATAGTATTCTTGCCTGTGTTGGTGTGTGTTGGTGTGTGTGTGTGTGTGTGTGTTTATGTGTGGGTATGAGGACCTGGTGGATGTTGTATGATACCCAAGTGTAGAGGGCGTGTGGTCATTATGAATAGTGTCAACGTATATGTATATGTATTTAAGCTCAATAAATGTGTTCATTTGTATGTATGTGAGTGTGAAATAAAATATTGTTTTAACTGATAGTATTTACGTCAATAATGAATTTTAAGAAATTTTCTGGATATTTTAGTTTAATGATTGAAAAAGGAACAAAAACTGGTGGTGTAGTTGGCCTTTAAATCTTGCGGTCAATGTTGATGTAACTCAGCTATTAATTAGAGTGCGTCTGTTTTTGTAGCCTCGGCATTTGAAGTTATTGTGTGGTCAGCAATATGCACACCCGCATTGAAGGGATAGTGTGGTCAGCACTATGCACACCCGCCTTTACTAGCCCGAACGTGAGTCAGGTACCCGTTAGAGCTGGTGTCAGCTCAAAGACGTTCTACAGACTGTAGACCGGGATCCGAACTCGATGCAAGCAGTCGAAAGCTCTACTATCCGACCACGTTTGGGCATTAATCTACAAATTATAGTGGTCATGAAATTATCACTTGATAAAAACTGAGTTTATGTTAGTTAGAAATTCTGTCTTTCCAGGCAAGTGCCCAGTCGGGCAAGTGTCTTTCGAAGAAACGTCCGCCTCCTTTATAGACAACTCATGAGTCAGCTACACATACACTAGACAAAGTTTATTCAAACAAAATTTCAGATACATTTAACTATCGTCTGCTAACGTTGCTATAGACAGAGTGTCGTTTCTAGAGAAATGACGTCATATTTTAACGGTGAGACTTGGAGGGTTTTAACAGGGAGACTCCGCCATCTTGCAGCGTCACGCTGGAGGAACCGGATGTTGGGATGGACATTTGGCCGGAGAAAACGCTAGCTTGGCAATAGGTTTCCCTGGCCAGTTCCTCATGGAGGGGATGATGGGAGGAGAAGATGGAGGGGAACTGTCTGTAGATGGGAGGGACTTCCGGTCCGGCAGACTGAAAGAGATGACGTCATGTTAGTCCTGGCGTATACCAGTCTCTATAATATATATATATATATATATATATATATATATATATATATATATATATATATATATATATATATATATATATATATATATATATATGTATATATACAGAACAGAGACTAAAGAAAAGAGAAAGCAAGAAATATTCATCACTGCATTGAGAACCATGTCAGTTTCTAACGAAGACAGGCACTCACGAAAAGGTTGTAGGCTTGCCACTGAAAGGGGCAGGTAACCGTGCATGGCGAGTTGATGTGAAAAGTTTGGTACGGCTTCTCTCTCTTTCTCCACTTGGCTCTGCGGTTCTGGAACCACACCTGCAGGTAAAGATGGAGGTTACAGGTAAAGGTGGAGGTTACAGGTAAAGGCAGTAGGTCGTTAGGTCCTGGGGCTGATGGGGTTGGTGTGGTTAGGTCCCTGGTGTCATTATGTATTACTGTACTCCAATTTTAGTCCGGTTAAAATAAAATAAAATTTACCACCAGCAAACCACACTTCTACAGAAGTAGTTTGGCCCTGCACAAATCTGGCCGGCGTTACCTGGACAAGATCTCACCTGTATTCTGGACTGGACAAGATCTCACCTGTATTCTAGACTGGACAAGATCTCACCTGTATTCTGGACTGGACAAGATCTTACCTGTATTCTAGAGTGGACAAGATCTCACCTGTATTCTAGACTCAGGTAGTTTGACCCTTGTGGCCAACTTCTCCCTCGTGAAGATGTCCGGGTAGTGTGTCTTCCTGAAGGTCCGTTCCAATTCCTGGGGACAGGATCAAACCCAGCCTGAGGTTATTGACACCAATGGAACTGTACCGGTCTACTGTACCATCCCAACTGTACCGTCCCTACTGTACTCATTTATTTACTGTCCCAACTGTACCGTCCCAACTGTACTTATTTAATTTACTGTCACAAATATAGGCCTACTCATTAGCTACCTGTCTCAACAGTACTCATTAATTAAGTATTAGTTTGGGCCTATGTTTTGGGAGTGTGAAACAGAAAAAAAATCGAACCTGTAGTTGTCTGGAGGAGAAGGTCGTGCGGTTTCTCTTGCTCTTTACCCCGGGGTGGGGGTCGTGGGGGTCGTGGGGATCGTGGGAATGGGGGTCGATGGGGCTCGCGTCGTTGGAGTGTGATAGATCGTGGCCCATGACGCACTCTGGTGACGTCACATACTTGTGAAAGGTGGACAAATCGTGCGGCTGGTCGTAGCGTGACGTCACGTGTCTACGTGAGCACAGTTCTGTGTTGTGGTCGTCGTGTGCATGGCTGGACACTTCCGGTTTGTCTGGGCAGCTTACTGCAACATACAGGTGGACACATTGATAGGGGGAGGTTGGTGGAGTGGTTATGTGTGGTGTGGTGATATTTGTGTGATGTTGTGATGTTTGTGTGATGTGGTGATATTTGTGTGGTGTTAATGTTTACCAGTGGGAGAGGACAAGGTAACCCCCACCCCCCACACACAACTCACCACTAGAGGATGAGGTGACCCCCACCCCCCCCCCCCCCCACACAACTCACCACTAGAGGATGAGGTGACCCCCACCCCCCACACACAACTCACCACTAGAGGATGAGGTGACCCCCACCCCCCACACACAACTCCCCACTAGAGGATGAGGTGACCCCCACCCCCCACACACAACTCACCACTAGAGGATGAGGTGAACCCCACCCCCCACACACAACTCACCACTAGAGGATGAGGTGACCCCCACCCCCCACACACAACTCCCCACTAGAGGATGAGGTGACCCCCCCACTCCCCACACAAAACTCCCCACTAGAGGATGAGGTGACCCCCACCCCCCACACACAACTCCCCACTAGAGGATGAGGTGACCCCCCCACCCCCCACACACAACTCACCAGTAGATGATGAGGTGACCCCCCACTCCCCACACAAAACTCCCCACTAGAGGATGAGGTGACCCCCACCCCCCACACACAACTCCCCACTAGAGGATGAGGTGACCCCCCCACCCCCCACACACAACTCACCAGTAGATGATGAGGTGACCCCCCACTCCCCACACAAAACTCACCACTAGAGGACGAGGTGTCCCCTACCACCCCCAACTCCCCACACAAAACTCACCAATAGAGGATGAGGTGACCCCCCCCCCCCCACACACACAACTCACCACTAGAAGACGATATCGACATCCCCCCCACACCCACACACAACTCACCACTAGAGGAGGATGACGTGAGGCCCAGTAACGAGGAGATGGAGAACTTGAGCTGGATGTCGAAGCTGCTGACGTCACGGCTCTTCTTGTTACCTGCCGGCACACCTGGGCTGTCGGCTGCTGAATAGAGGAAATAACATGACCCATGTGACGTCAGATCATGCCCCGGGTTACGTCATAACTGTCAAGAATCATGTGACGTCATAACTGACATGACCCATGTGACGTCCAAGCTAATATGTCACATGTGACGTTAGAGCTAATATGACCTATATGACGTGAGAGTTTACATGTCACATGTGACGTCAGAATTAATACGACCCATGTGACATCAGAGCTGACATGACACGTGTGACATGACATGTGACATGTGACGTCAAAACTAACATGTCACATGTGACATGACATGTGTCACTAACCTTGTAACTTCACACAATTCTATCGCGCGATATCTCACACAGATAAATGAAGATCACCGGATGATAATTAATTATTTCCTCGGACAATCAATTAAAGAAAAATTAGCGTGTAGTGGCCGTAAAACTTTTCCGACGAGAATGGGCACAAAAACGGTCTATGAAATCCGAAATTTAAAAATCCCAGCGATTCTTTACATATTAGTCCAAGACTAGCGAATATATTCCTTCTAGAAATTAGAATAACGATGGTTTAGCAAATAAAACCAATAAGAATCTAAATAGAAATAAATAAACTTTCAATCAGAAACTGTTTTCTTGATGAAGTCAGACCACAGAATCCAATAAGGAGGTGAGGGTGACAAAGGTTCAGTGGGGGGGGGGGGGGGGGGGGGAGGGGGGTATGAATGTTTCGTTCAGTCACAGTCCACAAAAGGACTTTGACGACACTTTAAGGTGATTTGAATACTGATGCGGGTGTCGACTTGTTATTACTTGTTACTATTATTACCTAAGTTTTAAATTCTTTTCTTCAAATGAATAAAGTGAAGTAACTACGCAACCTGAAGAAAACTACTCAAAATAAAATCAATACAATTCTCCCTGCAAATAGTCGACGGAATCGGATAGTATTGAAAAATAATTATTTTTAAAAAAATCCATTCACTATTCTTTTACTATAATTAATTTTAGAACTTAATTTGTAATTAAATTACAATTAGTTAGCGGAAAATAATTGAGGTAGGTTTTTAAATTAAAGTTACTGGCCAATACGTACGGGAACCCCTGCCGGCAGTTGGTTGAACAGTTAGGTAATCCTCAGGCTCCATGGTGCCACAGTCTTGGTTGGGCACGTCCAGGTGCTTGTACGTGCGGACCTCCGTGGAAGCGTTAGGTAAACATTTTAATGGTGAGATTATCTCTGATCTCTGTACTACTGACACTTTCTAAACAGTAACTATATGAAAATAATTTGTTTCATTTCCTGCGTGAAAATCAGAATCCTAGCCTAACAGAACCTCACAGACAGAGATATTTAGCTAAACAAACACAAACTGGCCAATCACCAGTCATTTTATACCGTTTTTCTTCCATCAAATCAAAGCCCATTTCAAAAGCCACTTCTCAATCGTAGAATCCGCGCAACTTTCGGGGTTTCCCCATCGGCGTGGACTAGCCGCAACGTTCAGCGCGGCGACTGTCCGGGGCTTCCCGCATCAATGCCGTGACGCCCGACTTCCGATTAAACGATCAGTGCCCGGATTAAAGATGTCCTGAGACATTTTGTCGGACACGTTCGGTGTCTTCACACCGCGGTCTGTGGTTGTCAATAATGTGGTGTTTGTGCTTGTTAATGTGGTGTTTGTGGTTGTCAATAATGTGGTGACTGATATTTGACCGGCACTAGATCAACTTATGTGATTGGTATCTCAGCCTGAAAACTCTAACCATCGCTGTGGTGTAAGCTACTGGTACTCTAAATACATATAAGACAGAAGCCAGCTTTGGTCCATATCAACAATCTCACACAGTCAGCCAATGGATGGAGTTTCTTCCATTGTGTTCTCTGGCTCGACTTATTCTTTAAAACGAAAGCGTAGGTAAAATATTTAAAAGTGAAGGCAAATTGTGTCCCCCAGCATAGTGCTCTCTTGTAATGTGTGTGTCCTTAGTCCTCTAGTAATGTGTGTGTCCTTAGTCCTCTAGTAATGTGTGTGTCCTTAGTCCTCTAGTAATGTGTGTGTCCTAACTTAGTCCTCTAGTAATGTGTGTGTCCTAACTTAGTCCTCTAGTAATGTGTGTGTCCTTAGTCCTCTGGTAATGTGTGTGTCCTTAGTCCTCTGGTAATGTGTGTGTCCTTAGTCCTCTGGTAATGTGTGTGTCCTAACTTAGTCCTCTAGCAATGTAAGTCCCATTTGCGGGTCCTCTCTAGTGCCTGATGTGAAAAGATCTTCACCTGACACAAGAGAACAATCCCCTCTTCTCCAAACAGTGCGTTAACAGTCCATCATCCAAGAGCGATAACCAATGATACTCCCCCCCCCCCTTACACAACTTATCTATCTACGACCCCACCCCACCCCTCAGACACGCCAAGAATACACCTGTCCACATACACCTTCCACCCCTAACTACCCCCTACCCCCCCTCCAGACACATCTTCCCCCTTCAATTCTTCCCTCTCGACCCCCCCCCCCCCCCCCCACCCTCCCGCTAGACCCACCCGTCGAGTTAAGCAAATTACGACGGTGATTAAAACAATTTCGGACACACAGGAGCTTCCCACAGGAAGGGGCGGTGGCTAAAATAGCCGCGGATCACTTCCGGCGTGGGAAAATGAAACAAAATGGTGGCCAGATCTCCTGACAGGAAAACAACAATGACGGCATTTGTAAGGCTTCTGATTGGTTGAAGAAGATGACAGTTGATTTCTGCTGGCCTCTTAAGAGAATTTGTTATTGCTTCTTTGTTTCTTAACTGCTCTTTTTGATTTGTGTGTTTTGTAAAGCTAAATTGTTATTTTGTCATTAATCTGTTACTTCATTAAGTAGCTAACTGTATATAACGTTGTATAATTAATTTTCACCCCATTTAAAATTGTTTTATTTAATTTTCCCCATCATCTTAATCCTCCAGTACAACAGAACATAATCGATTCCATTGTTTCCCATTTCTACTGAGTGCAATATATTATTTCACATTGGATTATCAGCGGAGCGACTGTCCAAATGTTCAAACAGTATCGTATCTATCGACTGTCCAAATGTTCAAACAGTATCGTATCGACTTGTCAAATGTTCAAACAGTATCGTATCGTGGACTGTCCAAAATGTTCAAACAGTATCGTACGACTGTCTAAATGTTCAAACAGTATCGTATCGACTGTCAAATTTTCAAACAGTATCGTATCGACTGTCCAAATGTTGAAACAGTATCGTATCGAATTGTCAAATGTTCAAACAGTATCGTATCGACTGTCCAAATGGTCAAACAGTATCGTATCGACTGTCCAAATGTTCAAACAGTATCGTATCGACTGTCCAAATGGTCAAACAGTATCGTATCGACTGTCCGAATGTTCAAACAGTATCGTATCGACTGTCCAAATGGTCAAACAGTATCGTATCGACTGTCCAAATGTTCAAACAATATTGTATCGACTGTCCAAATGTTCAAACAATATCGTATCGACTGTCCAAATGGTCAAACAGTATCGTATCGACTTGACAAATGTTCAAACAGTATCGTATCGACTGTCCAAATGTTGAAACAGTATCGTATCGACTGTCCAAATGTTCAAACAGTATCGTATCGACTGTCCAAATGGTCAAACAGTATCTTATCGACTGTCCAAATGTTCAAACAGTATCGTATCGACTGTCTGAATGTTCAAACAGTATCGTATCGACTGTCCAAATGGTCAAACAGTATCGTATCGACTGTCCAAATGGTCAAACAGTATCGTATTGACTTGTCAAATGTTCAAACAGTATCGTATCGACTTGTCAAATGTTCAAACAGTATCGTATTGATGAAATGTGACAAATGAGGGTTTAAACTTTACGGTTAGGTTTAGGTTTCAATCTTATAAAGATTATGTTAAAGGCAATATTCCGGCACTCAAGTTATATGTGTGAATTTGAATGGCTGCGATGTATATCATTATTAGGAATAATTGAGTGCAAAACGATATTTTTAAAATGGCGTCAACTTAGGTGTCATCTACAGTTCCGTTGTTAAATGGTTTTGTTCGTGTGGCATGTGTTTGTGGAATCAATCATTTGAGGTGATTAAATGAGGTGGATGGTGGGTGTTGGGTGCTAAGTGGTGGTCGGTGTTGGGTTTTGGGTGTTGGGTGATTGGTGGTGTGTGGTGGATTTTGGGTGGTAGGTGTTGGGTGTTGGGTGATTGGTGGTGGTCGGTTTGTGGTGGATTTTGGGTGGTGGTTGTTGAATGTTAAGTTTTGACATTCAACCACTCACTATGAATTATAGCTGTGGGTGCTTGGTACAGAAGATATGATGGTATTATTGGGCTTATTTCTGTAAGCCACAATGTCAAATAGTTGATGGTGGTATGATGTCATTCTGTAAGACACCCTCTCTGGTAGTTGATGATGCGGTGGGTGAGTCTTCAACATATTACATTGCTAAGAAAAAACAACAACAATGAAACAAAAAATGACCATAAGTCGTTAATCGGATGCAAGTCAAATTGTTGAATGTCTACAAACTACCCACATGAAATTTAAAAAAATAAAATAAAAGCATGAAAGCATATTGAATCAAAAAGACACCAGTCCTTATAATAGGGTGGTAGTAGGGATACCTTACATTGACGTCAAAATGGAAGGATAATGTCAATATTCTACTAGTACACACTTGAGTAGCAGCACACAGCGGGTAACACAATCCTGTTACCTACAGTTAAGGTCGAGCTTGTATTTATTATAACCATAGAACAGACATTAACGTAAGAAGTCATTAAAGTCACAGACCAGACTTTGATGAGGAACGGCGTAAAAGTCACAGACCAGACTACCACAGTAGTAATGTAAAAATAAACATTTGTCCCCATATGAAAAGTTGGAATATTAGTTAGCTCACTATTAAATATTTCACAAGGTCAGTAACTGCAAATATTTATCACAGACAAAAATTTAATGCAGTTACCTCCCCTAGAACACATGTCAGATAAATAGTGTAAGGGTTATCCATTTATATGGGGGGGGGGGGGGGAGGGGGGGGGGAAGGACGACCAAATGCGGAATTAATCCACAAAATACTTTAATTTAATAATTAACAATTAATTAAAAATGCATATAAAAGGTAGATTATACATTAAATCGGCTTTTCTCGTGGTAAATGTATCAGTAATGTAGCTGTTTATCGCACGCTTAAGAAAAAAACGTTTTTTTCTAAAAGCAGGAGGGGATGGGCAGCGACCGCGGCAATTTTCTAAAACAATTCATGGCATTAAAGTTTATTTTAAACATTTCAAACAATTGTAACTAATTCATAGTAGGCCTACATCATTATTTTTTTTTGTCAAAGCCTAAGATGATGTAGATCTAATTATTTTTATTCAAGAAAAAAAAACTTAGAGAAACCATGTTACAATTAGACGCGTGTGGATGGACGGGGAGAGGCGGGGAGAGGGGGGGGGGGGTTTCTAAATTTCCAAATTTTTGTGGACGTCACAAATGGATGACCCCTTAGCAATACAATAGCTCCGAGGCCCCAATCATGGTAACAATAATTAAATTACTTAGTGGGTAGAATCTTTATGCTTTTTGTTTGAATAATTTAAAAACTAGCGTGTAGGTAGGTATATATATACTAGGCATGCTGCCCAGCTTCGCTTAGGCTTTCGAAAACATTGAGAATTTGAATGCTTAATTAATTCGCCCATATAAGGCGCCGGTCAGTCGAGGTCAGTTTTGACCCCCTCATCGTAGACTTTTCAGCCAACCGGCCCCCGTGTTCTGTCGCCCCAAGGCAAGATCCTGCCAAATTTGAAGCGCCTGTGGCGCCGGGAAGTGCCCTGTCGGGCACCCGACAACTTAGCTTTATAGATCATCTAGATCTAGAATCTCTAGATCTATATGATCTAGAATCTCTAGATCTAGATGATCTAGAATATCTAGATCTAGATCAATATCTAGATCTAGAATCTCTAGATCTAGAATCCAAATAGATAAAATAATTTTTTAAAGTTTAGGCCGAGAAAATCGTATTGTATACATTTCATAGCGTACATAGCTCTAAATCATATTTGAATGAAATAGTTCATTTCTTTTTATTCTGAACTCGGAAGATGACGTCATCAGTTTCGTGCTCTTTTTTTAGTGTAAACAATAAGCGACGTCATTGTTAAATGCGTTCTTGTCTCAAGTATA